CAGCGCTGCAGGGAACATCCTAACTGACAAAAGAGCCAATTTAAGTACTGATGTCTTCACCAAGATGGTGCTTTTCAAGTCGATATACCCAGTCTTAAAGGACTTGAACTAGAAGCCTATCACCTTTTACTACTAATAAACAGCAAATTAGAATCAGAGTCCCATTCCATATGATATTCGTTTGACCAGTTAAAATGGCAAAAAAAAATTCATTGAACAACAAGTAAACCAAGATAGGCAAAGCAAATTCCAGCAAAATAACAATTTTTATATCATCAATTTGGCTATTTTTTTTTTTATTGACGGGTGGGCATGCGAGACAGGAATATGTTTCACAAAAATAGCCAAATTGATGATATAAAAATTGTTATTTTGCTTTGCCTATCTTGGTTTACTTGTTGTTCAATGAATTTTTTTTGTCAATTTAACTATTTATGCTGTGCATGTCATGCATATATGAGGCCTAAGCCCAAACTTTTGCATATATAGGAAGCCAGCATCTCATATATACATAGAGTGAAAAATAAACTTTTGCAGAGGTAAGAAATCGGTAAGTTACTTACTGCTATTTTACTTTTACTTGGGTAATGTTTGTGAAACGTGATCAAGTATATTTTACTGCAAGAGGTGTGTTAAACCATGCAAGATAGACGCGTCGCGCGTAACTATTGGCTTCACGTGACAAAATATGCCTATTTAAGGCTTGATTTTAGCTTCCAACAACCTGAACACTTCAACTTTTCCTTTCTCTACCAACTGAATTCCCAATAGTTCATTCAGAAAAAAAAAAATGCATTCCATTGGTAAACGCAAAGAACCTTCTGGTAGTCCTACTCTGCGTGACATTCAAATCTCAAAGAGACAACGAAATGAAAAGACACAGGGACAAGAAGGAGTAGAAGATAGCCAATATAACATGACAAGCACTACAATAACAATGGTGGCTACCTCATCATCAACTACTACGGTATCATATTCCACAGGAAAACGCAAAGAGCCTTCTGACAGTCCTTTTCAGCATGATATTCAAGTGTCAAAGAAACAGCGAAATGAAAAGACACAAGGACAAGAGGAAATAGAAGACAACCACTATACCATGACAAGCTCGAGCACAAAAGTAATAACAGAAACAACGACTGCTCCATCGTCAACTATTGCGGTATCGCACTCTGTTACCGCCTCAGGGTTCGTTTCTCATGTTGCTGTTAAAAAGGCCGAACCAAATACAATCCATAATATTGGTGGCAACAACAGTGGCGTCAAGCATGACGCCACCAAAACTTCAACAGCTTCGACTTCGGATAATGGTGCCTCGTCGTCCTCGTCATGGAGGCGTACATTCAAGTATGACAACAGCAACCCTACCAGAGTGCATAGGACGTTTATATATGATCCAGTAACCTCAACTACCTTCATATTAACGTCTTCAATGTTCATGTGCGGGTACAAAACAACAAGGGTATTCAAAGAGTAATAAGCCAGGCCATGTATTACTGGAAATGGCCTGGATATTCCTCTCAAAAAATTATAAAAAAAAAAAAAAAAAAAAAAACTCTCATTTCGTATGATTGTTTTGTATTGTGAAAAAAAGACACAAATTACTTAAATTGCTTCATATACCAGTATATAGTGTTAAGCCTTTGAAAGGTTTGTTTTAATTGCTGCAATAAAATTTTCTTTTATCTCTTTAAGCTATTACAAACATCGTTTTTTTATATTTTCAATGCTCGCTACATGGTGATCCAATTCTTCCTTCTTTCTACGGCTTCAATTAGGCCAGGGTTAATACGCTATCTTTCGAATGAAACTTGTAAGAGCATCAATGAGTCTGCTAATCCGCTTTCCTATGTCAATTGTCCGCACTACTTGAATCTCTTGCTTCCCATTCATTCTCTCAAAAACATTATTCCTAGGACTACCTCTACTGGACAGTTTAGACTTAGACCCCGTTGATGATATCCAGGTATGGGAAAATCAATGATATTAGAGAATCTGCTTTGAGGTCGGGCGAAGATCAGCTATAACCCCCTTACGTTTCGGGTCTGTTCACCATTTTGCCACTGTAATACATTACTATCCCTCTTTGCATGTATTCTTGATATACTACGGACTGTACCTCGCGTATTAGGGAGAAAATAAAATAGTCAGCTATTGACTATGAGGGAGATGGGCTCGTATCGCTGCAGTGCTGAACTGCACCGCTTGGCAGCGAGGCTTTCACGCCTTTACTGACTTTTACAACTGTCAAGTACCTCTCTTGCCTTCGTTTAGTTACTTGAAGCCTTGCCAACCATGATCGAAACTGTAGGGTGAGCCTGTTCATATCATTCGCGCCGCTCATAGTAGTGACAATAGACTATCTGTACCGTGCTCTCTTGTCATTTTATATTCTTTTTTTTTATGCTATGACTCCCAAAATACCTTCATGCTTCTTTCGTCCAATTGCGCACTCTAACCTTAGTCAAACAGACACATGGATCCTGGGAGCCTCACGCACTGTATTCTCGGATGTCAGGGTCAGATTCTTGATCATATGGTCTTCGCTAACAACAATGTATACTAAAGACAGATCGCCAGTCTCTATAATAAAAACTGATTTGCCAATTTGAAGGAAGCCTCGTAGCAAACTGTATTTGTAATCCCTTGTCGTGTTTCAGCAAAAAATGGTTTGTTTGTAGTTCGTATTCTGACTATTGCCAGTCGGTTCATAAGGAATACGAAAAACATAACAAACATAATAATACTCAAGCAACTAGGTTGCTATGGCCTTCATCCGAAACCCATCCTATTTACCTAATTCTTTTTATGTTTAACCCACAGCGGAATGGCATGATCATATTCCAGAATAGGAAGATTAGGTCAGGGGTTTCTATTGAATAGGATTGCTGCCGCGTGACCCAATTGTAAGCGGCTACCATTCGGTCGTCAGGCAATACAAAAGACGATACCACTTATTATATAGCCTGAAAATATAATCTGTTTAAAAAGGTTTGAGTTTTAATATTCAAGAGCTTGGAGCACTCGAGTAGGTCCTACTTTCTCCAACCATCAACTTTAGTTTAGCCCGCGGCCTTCTGACACTATTATTTTGCTCTAATAAGGCCTTTAGGAACCCCCCTTTTCAAATCGGTACATATAACCAATAGCGCCTTGAGCATCAGCACATCCTTGATCGGCCCCTTTGAGATACCAGTCGACAGCTTTCGAATAGTCCTGTGAAACCCCTATGCCGTGGTAGTACATGTATTCAAGATTATTCTGAGCGATAGCATTTCCGTGGTTGGCTGCCTTGAGATACCAGTGAAAAACAAGGAGTATATTGGGGATCTTGAATTCGCTGATAACTACACAGATGGGCTCATATCATTGCAGGGTGTGATCGCCTCTGATGCATCGAATGTGTAACCCAAGATTCATCTGACTGGATCAGTTTTCCATGTCTCATAGTTCCGCAATCACCAAAATTTCATTCACTCATTCAAGTTTACGCGAGATGTGGAAACAATATTAGAATGTACATGTACTCGCCTTGGAGGCTTGGTCATTCTTTGGGTATGTATTTGTGGTGATGAAGTCGATTTATTCTTTCAAGTCTGCAATCAAGTTAGGTGCTTGAAAATACTCAGAGTAAGCGTCGATCAGCTCCATTTCGGCTTGAACGACAACACGAACAGGTTCAAGTACTCAAATATAATCACATTTGGTATAAGTGGTGTCCCGAATACTTAGCCTTCCACACCCTCACACAGCATCTCATTGCCTCGGCATGTTGGCTAGGAGGTGTCCAAAGTTACGTTCAATGAAATGCTATGATCCCACTGAGGAAGAAAAACTACAGGACAAACAGATATAAAGTTCTATAAGACAATATCCCTTCATTTCCTTACACACTGGCAGATCTTTGATATTTACGCTTTCTAAGCATGGATGCAAAGGATGAGGGTATGGCGGTGCTTCTTAAGCAGGTGAGTGAATTAGAATATCTAATTGACCCATTCTGTCATCTCGGCCCATTCTCTATTAGGGAATCGTTAGCAGACGAGCAGGAGGTTGTAGAGAATAGGCCTAGAGTACGAGGAATAAGGCGCCAGAGACTGCAACATAGTTGGAGCTCTAATATTTAATGTAGAAAGTCAAGAGTGACGGTGTTGTTCAAGTGATATTATCCAATTACTCACGCCTGAAGCGTCTGTGAGGGCCTACGGTTACAGCGACCGAGGTTGTTAATGGTGCTGATTGGATCAGCACTGATATGACGGACAGCCTTGAGGTTGATGCTGATCGAAAGGCTATAGAAGGTATGGAGAAATGACGAACTGTATATGAAAGGATACGCTAATTGACTGGATCAAGGCGCCATCCATACCTTGTTACGGTATTATTGGCTATCAGAGCTAGAATTACGAGGATTTAAATAACTAGAATTAGACGTTTTACTTTTAATCTTGTTCTGTCAATCAACAAGGAAAGTAGATTTACAAATGTTAAAGGGCATTGGCAGAAATTGTTGCTCAAAGACCAAGAACATTACTTGGCTCTATATCTTCCTAAGGAGCCATATCCGCCGCTTGTTCATTTTCTACAACCAATGCATCATTTCACATACTTAGCCCTATCATAAAAAGGCCCCTTATCATGGTGTCATTTGATGAACTCCTTTAATATTAGAGTCCAATGTTATATACTTGTAATCCCTATTCTTTAATGGTTTGCTCCTCTCCTACATATTTCATGGCAATGCCTTGCATTGAGCACTTTTCCAAAGCATTTAAGGCAAAAAGTAAATTACCCACATCATTTAATAGTTTTTTTTTTTCTTTTTTCAATCGAAACACTTTAGACCATGTTTTTATTAAATAAAAAGGCTTAGAAATGCAAATTAATGATGATATGTCAATGAAAGTGATATTAAATGTTGAGCGGGTCTAGTTGACTACAGCCCAGGAAGCCTATCGCGATCTTTATAGCATTTTATGAATGAATTCTCAAAGCGCTCTGCTTTAATCGTGCTGCTGCCGCTGCTGCTGTTGTTGTCCTTCTTGCCCTTCTTGTCCTTCTTGTCGAGCTTGGCTCTGAGCCAGTGTAGGGATCATGTGAAGTGGCAGTACAGGCTCTGGGGCCCTTTCGTATTCAAATGGCATAACAATCGCAGTGGTGACTGTAGGGATATAGGGCGATGCTGTTGTAATCATGGAGGCAGCAGAGGGCGAAGGGCTATCCTTTTTGTGTGCATTCGAGCTGTCGTGATCCTTGCCATGATGAGGGTGGTGAGGGTGAAGATGATGATGGCTTTTACCGCTGTTGTGGCTGTCGTAGGGCACGAGAGAGGGTCGTTTCGTTCTACTTTGTAACCCAGAACCATCGGTACCTTTGAACGAGCCCGTAGCTAACGCTGATGGTCTGATTCCTCCTGTCGTCGTTGATCTTTTTCGCTGAATGCCATTTCCATAAGACTCTGTACTGAGCGTGCACATCGGCAATTGAATTTGCGCTGGAAACATCGCTAGAGTTGGAGACGAGACTTCAATCACTTGTTGTCCACTAGCCTCCTGAGCTGCCTGGACCGCATCCTTATACCGTTGCGCGTGCCGATTCCCAAGTAAACTCTCATCCATCACTATGATTCCAGGGGCTCCCAAAGCACTCGCGGTAGTGGTATTCGGAATAAGAAGATCATTTAGATTGTGACTGATAGAAGTTGTTCCAGAAGTGGTTGGTGAGATGTCAACATGAATGTTTCCAGTTTTAGCCTTAAAGCTTTTGGATTTCGATTTAGGCTCCTTTCCGGGAACAACAGATGCAGTCTCCCTTGTAGCAACTCTCTGATCTGTTTCATCTCTTGGCCTTTGATGGCTGTCCTCAGAGGATTCAGAGGGGGTGCTACTAGAATCGGATCGATTCAATGAAGGGTTTTCAACATCGCCAGAGTTCATTGCGGCTATGCGAACAGGTATTATCTGCGGATTGATCAAAATTCGTGATGGTGCGGGAATTGCCAAGTCTGGATGAAAATTCATACTAAGTTGTTGTTGTTGTAGCAAGATTTGTTGTTGCTGTTGCTGAATTTGTTGGTGCTGAGCATGAACCTGCAGTTGGAGCTGTAGCTGTCGATGCTGTTGCTGTGCTTGTTGCTGCTCTAGAGCTCTCTGCTGCTGATAGAGGGGGTCCTGAGGGTATTGCAATGGCTGGCCAAATGCATTTGCGCCCATTCCCGCGGTTGTAGCGTCTGCCGCGCCAATATTCACCATTGTGGATGGGGTCATAGCTGTGTTCTGAGCCATAGCATCCTGAGTAGCGCCACTAGGGATAGGCGGCAGCCCTAGTTGATTAGTAGCGACGGCTGACCCAAGGTTTAGCTGGTCTCCGAGCGTGCCAGGTGTGTAACAGGCGCCAGAAGATACAAGTGTAACTCCAACCAAAGGCTTGATCAAGATAGCAAGTAATTCTAAAGTTGAAGTAAAGGGGATCTGATGTTAAATAAAAGTTCGCGCACCAGGTGCAAATAAGGACTGCTCTAACCATAATACTTACCCAATTCCTCAATGACTTCCTCTAAGGCAGATGAGAATGCATAGTAATAGATATAGGTATAGTGGTCCTCTCCTGTCACTACTCGATTAGCAGCAATAGCCTCTCTGACATTATATATGACCCGCAAACGAGCCATTCTTGCTGATGGTAAATAGGGTGGCAGAGGTGATTTAGCAGCGAGTGATGAAGACAGCACACTAAAATAAAGCAAAAGTGCGCCAACCTATGCATTACACGAGAACCATAGATGTCTTTTTTTAGATATTTGAATGACAGTATCATACATCCAGATAGTCTCCATCCACATCATTACGTAAATCAAAGCTCATATTTGCTTACCATGTCGCGTCGATAGTAGTTCATTGGTCCAGTCACTAATTCACGGACTTCGGGCGAAAGCATCTGAGCTGCCATACGCATGGAAACCATCCTATCCAAAATATTTTGGCAACATTGAACGATCTGTTGGTAGAGCTTCATTGGAAACTCCTCCTTCAATCGTGGTTCTAAGGCAGAGAGCTCGAGTAACTGTGAAATCTTGATAAGCTTTGTCTGAAGTTGTTGCTCTACATGCTGGAATGCTATACGATCTGGATCCATGGTATTCCGAGAGTCTTCATCCTGATAAAGCAAGCCTTCTCTATCAGATACTGCGTCATTACCAAGGTTCTGATTCCTTGTTGGCTTAGTATCCCCTTGACGAGCTTGCTGCTGTCTCTTATTCATGCTTTCTCTTTCTGCGCGCTCGATAAATGAGTCCTGAAGCGGATCTCGCCTCTCATCCAAACCATCATTATTATATCCTTCTTGATCTCCTTGATGATGGCGGTTATAATGAGACCAACTGGCCATGTGATTTGGGCGTCGGGCTTTAGGATCCTCCAACAAAAACTTATTAACTAATTCTGCGAAAAGTACACCCTGTCGCCCAATCAGCACTGCAATCTCCTTGCGCAATTCTCGACGCGCTAGAATCGGCCACAGTAATGTGTTCATTGCCACCGAAACGATGATTCCAACAATGACTGTGATCGCACGTTTATAACACACTTCAAAAATTGTTTCTGAAGATCTATACCCATACATAATGAACGTGATCGAGGAGTATGAGAGCAACATAATGATCCCCAACTGCGGTTGAGAAGTTTCTAGGATGAAGAAGGCTCCAGCAAAGGCTGGTATACGATAAAATAAAATATGACGTTAACGTGCGAAGTATGGAGCATTGTTCAATAAAAAAAGACCTTTTTCCTGCATTTAGTAGAATTAATAACGCGTATACAGATATTTATATCTTACCAACGATGAGCATCATGGCACAGATTACATAGGGATTCCGTGGCAAAGCTAAAAAAGTCAGCAATGCCCAGAGTGTACCCACTAATGTACCAGCGACACGCATTGCGCAAACACTGAACGTAGCTCCTATAGTAGGTGATAGCACCGCCATCACTGTCATCATAGCCCATTGACCACGATCTGTTGCCAACGGCTTATTATTCCATTCTAGCCAGGACCATAATCCGATGAATGTAAGTGCAACTGCCATCTTGAATCCGAACTTGTACTCTGCTGAATTGAAGGGCTGTAGTAATTCCCACAAGCGATAGCGTAGGGTTTTGGGCTTCTTTACGCTTACAAAGACAGTTCCAGACGGCTTTTCAGGCTCATTTTCAGATGCAGCCTGACGAGGCCCTTGCCTCTCTTTGGAGGCGAGCTCAAGTGCATCTTCGGAAGGGCGGCGGCTAAATGTAGCGAAAATACCTCGAGAGCGCCGCTGCTCGTCCTTATTCTGGTGATCATGATAATGTCTCTCTCTAGAGAAACGATCATTTGTTGATGAGCTGTCATTGTCACCACTATCCCCAGTAGACCTTCGAGGGTTTCCACAACGAGCTTGGGCGTCGCTACTGTCGATAGTAGTGGAATCTGGTGCATGTAACAGCGCTGGAGAAGTACTGCTAGCAAAAGAAGGGTACCGATCCTGATGCGACATGCTAGGTCTTTCGATTACCTGTACAGGCTTTTTAGGTTTTGTGGCCTCGTCAGTGACTAATTCTGGTGGGGCTGTACTACGTGGCTTTAAAGTATTGACACGAGGTGACAGCTCTACCAAGTTGACATCCTCAAAATGTTTAAGCTCTTTGTCGTCCTTATGCCTAAGGGATTCATAGTCAGGTATTTCCACAACGGTGTACTGCTCCGCTAGCGATGACTTATTTTTGATATCAGTTAATGGAGCCTCCAAAGTCGCGCCTGAAGGGGAAGCGACATCATCTTCACCGAAATCCCGGTTCAATACCTCCTTAACGCCTAAAACGTTGGGATCCTCAAGGCCAACTTCAGATTTTGGCTTTTTAAGAGCACGAGAGAAGGGTTGGTGGCCTGCACGAGCATGTTGTCTATGCTCATGTCTATATTTACCAGAGCTAGAGTGAATAGGAGAGGCTGACCTGGACCGGGGTTCATGTGACTTCTCACGAAGACTGGGCCGTTGTGGGTGGGCTTCTGTTGCATAACTTTCAGATCCAAGACCTTTCTCTACATCAGGACTTTGTCTGCCTCGATGGACAAGCGCCGACACAGTAGCTCTGCGACGAAGAGGTTGTAAATTCCATGTTTCCGAATGACGCCGTCTGTGGGCCGCAGCCTGTCTCTCTAAAGCGGCCTTCGCAGCAGCCTCAGCGGCCGCCTTCTCAGCAGCGGCCTTAGCAGCCTTGGCTTCAACATGAGCCTTTTCCTCCTCGACGCTCATTAGCTGCCGGTGTTCAAGATTCTTGGCTGAATTCAATATCAAGGAATTATAACCTTCGCTTGTTTTGACTTGGTTATAATTACCCCAGGCAAACCATCGCCAGAAATTACCAACAACTTTGGGCCACCATAGCTTTTTCCTACGTTTAATATGGTGTTCTGTCTCCATCCTTGCACGCACTTTCTCTTCTTGTTCTTCGAGGTACTTGCCGAGACGCAACAACTCACGTGCGATCTCGCGCAACGCGAACAAGAAGAAAAAAATCAAGAAAAGCTCTTCGCGTGGCCCGACCTCCAAGGTCGGGTGTGTGGAAATAAAATCACGAAGACTTTCTGCTTCTGCCTTGTCGAAGATCTCCAGCTCTTGGGTCAAATATTGTACATACGAAACACCAGGCGGTAAAGCAAGGTCATCCTCATCATCGAGCCCAGAGAAAGCGGCATTTCTTTGTGCGTCCTTTTGAAGGAATTTGTTGGGGTGGGGAGTATCTATGGGGACTTTTTTAGGAAGCTTGGTGTTCTTTTCTTTGTTCATATTCATGCCTGATTTGAGTGCCTTGACATAATCAATATCGTCTTTTGTAAGGTGAGGAGTATCGATCCCGATCAAGGTACGTATCCGGTCAAGGATCCTGGTCTTACTGTCAGCTTTCTTATTAATGACATCGCTACCAGACTTCTCTATCCCTACTGCTTCATTGTTTGCTGGATCCGCTGTCTTTGCATCTGCGGTTGCTCCAATGGCAGCGGCTTTCTCTTCCTCCGCCAGTATTGCTTCTGTAGCCCGAATAGCAGCTGCATGCTGCGCGTTTCGTCTCTTGATACGCTCTAATCGGTCTTGCTCCACATTAAGTCCTGCTACCAGCTCTCGCTCCAAGCTAAACATCACTCTTGAACAGGTATCACTTAGGCGCTGTAAAGGATCGCGTACGATATTCAAAAATGACATGAACAGTTTTCGATCACCAAAGGCGACCTCTTTTGGTGGAATAGCCCTGGCTGCAGCTTCAGCTTGTCGTTGACTCTCCAGAAGTTGTTGTTCAATCTTTGCCTCCTTCTCTGCTCGCTTGTGTTCGCGTCTTGCTTCCTTTTCCCGTTGTTTTCTGTAAGCTTCTGCTGCCTTTTTCATTTGGTATTCGGATAAAGGGGCTTTAAACTTCAGACCAGAGTGGGGCGAATGTCGTTGGTTAGGTGATCCATCTTCGAAAACTGCTCCACCTAAGCGGGCAGGTAGCGTGGCGTAGTGTGCTTCATCTATGGATGTTCTAGAAGAAGGACTTGCATGAACACTATTTCCTGCTCCGGAGCTATCTCTCAATTCCTTTCTATTGCCTTGCTTGCATTCAGCTTTCAGTGATGATGATCGGCGGGGCTTAAACTTGGGGCCGGATCGTACTGAAAACAAGGACTTGAAGCTTTTAACGGTTTCCAGGTTTTGCTCTTCGTGAATCGAATTGGGTCGCGATGAATTAGGGGTGGTGGAATTAGACCCGAACTGCCTGAAATAATCATCTGTATGTTCATTGGGCTCGGATGGAGAAGATGAGAATCTCTTAGAGCGGTGTGCTTGATGATGCCCAAAGACGCTACGAACACCTCGGCCTCCTGGGCTTGAAGGCGCTGTTGCAATTCCACCTCGGTCAAAAAGGAAAGACTGTTGAAGAGCTTCCTTTTGCAGCCGTTCTTGTTGTTGCTGTCTAGCTTTTATCACCGCCTGTGTAGTGTTTTCTGCTCTTTGCAGAAGTTGACGTACACGTCGAAGTTCCGCAGCGCTACTTCTTCTTTGTACTCGCTTTTGTGGTGTTCTACAACCTTCCTCGCTTGATGGACTGTTGCTAGGATTATCTTTCTTCCGCGAGTGGCGACGACGACGAGAGCTTCCTCGCTTGACAGTAGCTTCTGCAGTGTCACAACCAAAGTACTCGCTCTGTTGATGGATCTTTTCTACAGATCCCGAGTTGTTATTAGTATCGGATTCATTCTCACTCTCAGAACCGCTACCACTCTCGCTTTCAGAAGAGCTACTATCTTCCATATCGTTTGACTCTGCCACACTCATCAAATCTTCGTCGTCACGATCAGGGTGTCCCAACATCAAAAGTCGCTCATTCTGAACAACCAAACTCATAGATGCCAAATGCCTCATGAGTGCGGAAACGATCAACCGAACCTCCTTGTAGTCCGCTGGATCCGTCGACGAGTATGTAACCTCATACCGAGCCTCTTTATATGCATTGAAAAGTTTTTTTTGGGCATTTCGCACTTCCGACTGGGCTTTCTCGACGACAGACTTTGGAAGAGCGATTGTTTTGTGGTTCAATAAAAATGATCGTGTGCTAAGGTTCAGGAGGTTTCGAGAACTGTCCATAGATTCATTGAGAGCACGACTTGAGAAGAAGAAAAAAACGAGCCGGTTCATTAGTATTTGTAGGAAATTATATTACAGATCATCTATCTATACTCATAGCCTGTAAAAATATGCAGATATTCTTACCCTAGTCCTTCGCTAGCAGTTTCTGGCCAAAACAGAATGCTGACGACTAGACAAATGGCTGTACCCAGCATCATTGGACCCATGAGATCCCAGAAGTCGTGAAAGTTAAATTGTGTGCTGACATGGTTCCTAGTAAGGGCGAAGATACCGGCGATGGTGTAAATGATGAACGAGCAGTTCAGCTTTGCATATTTTGCCTTGTAGGTGGTCATGATCCAAACCCCGATGAAGAGCCAAGCTGCATTAATGACCCATGCAGCGCTATTGCCTTCCCCCACTTTCAAATATTTTTGATTAAATGCAGCGACGGCAGCCTGACAAGGTAGGATCCAAATGGCTGCCAGGACACCGCCGATGACGCTGAATAAAGTAACTTCGAGCTGCGAACCGACCGTGCGTGCTGGATGTAGAAAGATAACAGCAACATTGGCAAGATAAGGCACATTGCCGAGGAAATTAGCAGCTTGGGGGATGAGTGTGAAAGCTGACGATAAGTAAAGCGCAATAATGAACTTTATATGACGTTTGATAACTCTGTTTGAAAAATGGTTTGTGAAACGTTTCCATGCTGAAGGTGGAGGTGGGGGTAGGGGTGCGAAGGGTACGGAATTGGCACTATTGATAGATTCGATAGATGGTGGACGGGAGGCTGCTACGCGATGGCTGTGTCGATCATGGTCGACAGAAGTCCGAGAACTCCTAGGTAGGTGCTCAGGAGCAGGATCGAAGATGGACATATCAAAGAACCTATCGGATTAAGCAGACATAGTGTAAGTCGAGAATATGGATGTAGGGTAGTACAACATGTGCAAGCAACAAATACAACTACAATAGCTCGCATGTCGTGGCTAAACAAAAACAACAAAAGAGCGGAAATGGAGAAAACGTAGTTTTGCCGCGTTAAAATGCCAATGATGTACAAGGTGGACAAAGTTACTGCAACGTCTCTTTTTTTGGGAATAAATAATCAAATGACTCAATTGGACAAAAACTCCGAAAAAAAGAGAAGACAGCAATGGATATTGTTTTTGTGTGCCGATCAATGTACATGTTGATGGTCGAGTGACTCTTACCCTTGTTTCTGTCTTTCTGGGTTGCTGCCTGGAATATATGTATGCGACAAGCTCGATCGCCGTGAATGGGTCATTGAAAGCGGATAGGCCGATCGAGGAGCGTAGTGATGAGTATGGTAGTGATTATTGCCACCTCCATTAATGCCACCAACCGTGGTAGGTAGGATTAGAGTGCCTCCTACTCCTCCTTGAGATGAACTTCCTATCTCTGGAGTACTAGGATTTGATGGTGACCTAGAATTGGGAGATGCTTTAGAGACAGGGTGGCCACCACTGTTATTATTGCTGTTGTTTTGTGCGTTTGATTTTTGGAAGGGAGTAAAGGTCAGAGTGGGAGGAAGGGCTGGAGTAGAACGGTGATGTTTGGAAGACATGGAGCTTATTTGCGAGTGATCCGTACTGGTGCTTGCTTTGTCGCTTTGTTTGTCAATGCTGCTGTTACTACGGTTGGTGCTGCTGCTGTTGTACCTAGAAGAGTGATGATCAGAATGTGCAGCTCCTAAACTCCCAATATTGGCAGATCCACGCGAGCCTGATCCACTGTTGGAGGATGAGGGCAGAAGTGAGAAGTAGAGCGATGGTGGAGGCATAGGGATCGACATTGCCTGATTGCCATTGCCGCGGGGTATGGCATTGGAACGAGGTGTCTTTTGAGAATTAGGAGTGATAGAATCGGACGAGTGACGCTTTTCTGGACTAGGGGCATGTTTTCGGGATAAAAATGTAGACGTTATTGAGGAGGGCTCGCTCCGGGAGTGCTTACTGCTAGGTTTTGCCATTAGCAAGCAGCTGAATTTATTAGAAAGAGAGGGATAACGAGGAGTTTGCAATGCTATGAAGAGAGATTAATATTTTTTACTGGAGTCAGGATGACGGATCCTCTAGTGACACAAACAGGATATAAAAAAAATTTGAATTCTCACTTTTATTTAATGACTCTAAAATAGATTGTTGGACAGATTGAGAGAGGAGAGGATTAGTGGAATGGAAGAGGACAGAAGCGAAGAACGAATTAGAATCAAAGTGACTGGGGATGATTGTGAAAAGATAAAAGATGAATGGATGAACGGATGAGTTGATGAAAGAAATGGAGTAAAAATTACCAAAAAACTTGCCGTTAAAAATATCCTTAGGATTCAAGTCGGCAACTAGGCAAAAGCAAGACTTCGCCCCTCAAAAGGGGGAGTACACATTTGGACAAGTGGAAAAGGAGCATAACATTCCTCTACCTTTCTCCGCAAGACGAAGAGCAAGCGCATGGTTGCATAGAAAGCACAACGCTTTCTCCCTCTGCTCTCTTCACTCAACAAAACCACAACCGCTACGTTGAAACTCAACTCCTTCTCTCCTTTGTTTACCAAAGCATACATTGATTTTAATCGCTTTTATTTATTAACGCTTATGTCGGAGCCTTTATTCCTCTCTCGCAATCATCGAAAATCTGTATTATATTACTGGTCTAATTCAGCTAGGAGAAGACTTGCATGGATTGGGTCATACCAGTTGTAACTTCAATAGGAATTGGTGATTGTGATTGCCAGATAATTGTTTGCTTTGTCTTCACCAGGTTCCAAAAACGCAGTGGACAACAATGTCAATGGTGCGTTAACAGTCGATCTCGTGGCGATGGTTAAAGAAACCTTGATGGCAAATTGCATCCATTACTTCTTTTCGGTCAAATGCGCGCTTAGTAGTATTATATATACATATATATAAATATATATCGGTTGACTTTTGAACTCAGGACGATAAGGCACATTCAGGCGCGCCAATGCTATTTATCGCTCACCATTCTAATTCTAATACTTCATCTCCGAAGCGGAATTGTTATTAGTGCACGTATATGACATAAACTTTTTCATTCCTGTCAATACTTTAAAATTTTGTCAGATATTCGAATCAGTAGAGATTTATAGAGGATTAAAGGTTGAATGCATCCCTTGTTTAAATTGAAATATGCAAACCGATGACAATGATACATTTTATTCCATGCAAAAAATATTCATATAGAAAACAAAAACTTTAAACTAATATAACCTCCATTTACTTGGAGCGAACATATTTGCCGACAACCAAGGCGTGGTCTCTCTCGAAGGGCTCCAATGTCAACTGCTCCTGAGGCTTAATACGTTGCTCTTGGAGTTTGGGAATCTCACCAGCGAAAACAGTGGCAGCATCAACGGTTGAGTCAATACAATTGGCCTTGATGGAGATGACAATGTGACCATTATTCTTCAAGAAATGGTGGGCGTTGATACCAACGATACGTGACTGATCAGGCTGAGCAACATCAGCAAAGATGACATCAACCATGCCGACCAACATGCGATACTTGTGTGGATGACGGGCGTCCTCAATAATGGGAATGACATTGGTGCGCTTCTTAGCCATGTTGATCAAGTCACGTCCAGAACGGTGCGAGAACTCAACTGCGTAGACAAGACCCTCAGGTCCGACAATATCTGCAACATGGGAGACGGTGGTTCCAGATGCAGCACCGAGATAGAGAACCTTCTTGCCAGGAGCAATATGGATGTGATCAACACCTCCAAGAATACCAGCAGCAACCTTGGAGCGGAAGGGATTCCAAACTCGGTACTCAGTCTTGGTACCATCAGCACCCTTTTCATCAAACAGTAGGAAAAAAAGGAAAAGATCGTAAATAAACAGCACGATAATATTGCATTTAGTTTCAAATGATGCATATCTATTATAGCTTACCTCAATTGCAATTCTCTTCTCGCCATAGACAGACTCGCCAGGTACCAAGTTCTTGGTCAATAGGTAGTCCTCCTTTCCGTGGGCGACGAAGATACCTTCGTGTCTATGGGGTTCGACAGTGACCTTGGCACCGCCCTTGGCACCACCCCTGGCACCGCCACCGCCACGACCACCCCTAGCACCACCGCGTCCACCGCGGCCACCAGGACCACCACGCTTGGAGATACCTACATTAAACGACAGACATAATGGGTAAAAGATTGTTGTCCAAGAATAAAGGGTAAAAGCAATGCCGTTAATGATTGTTTGGTAAATTGTACACTACGCACGATCCAGCAATAGGAAACTCATGAATACTGAGAACATCGCAAGACCTATCATCAGAACAGACGAGAGAACATTGAAAGTGGATGAAATACGGTGTAGGGAGGGTTTATATTTAAACGGTAAACATAACAGAGTGCAAGGGAGGGAAAAAAAAATGCATGCATCCTTATTCGAATGTGTTCTCCCACTGATGCCTCATTAAAAGGTCAAGATGACTCAATGGTATTGAGATCCAAAGCCGGATCGCGCTTTCACTTTGACCAGATTATGAATCGAGAAGCGACTTGCAGGGGATGCAACACGGTAAAGAGCTGCAATATATCCCCATCCATTTCCTCTCTCAACATATTCCGGGAAGACATAAAAAGTACTTGAGAAAATAACAATCGAAATTATCTCATGACTGAGGACAATTTCTGATCGAATATAATTCTCTTAAAATAGGATGTACTTCTAGGCGTCTTCACAGAGAATTTCTGATCTAGATCATAAAGCATTGTACTTACCACCACGACCGCCGCCACGACCGCCGCGATCACCACCGAAACCACCACGACCACCGCCACGAGGGGCACCACCACGAGCACCACCACGGCCGCCACGACCACCACGATCACCTAGTGAAGAAATAATACATATGTACAAGTTAGATGATATAAATATGCAGTGGATGTTTGATTCTGGCAATAAAATGTTAATGAGTTGCTGCATGGTATCCAAGCCCTGTCAGACGCCGAGTACAAATCAAAGTTTTTCTTTCTTTTTCCTTCATAGTATTGTAGTCATGATTGTCCTGATATTGGAAAAGGGAGTACAACATTCGTTCCCAAGACACCGACGAGATCAGTTGTGGTAAATGCTGAATCCATGTAACCTCGGTGACAGCAACTATGACAATGAATGACAGGGAAAATACAAAGCTTGATCTACTTACCGAAACCCATTTTTATTAGTGTAAGAGATAACTATTGATAGAGATGAGGATGATTGTGTCCTTTCGAATGTTGGACCTCAAAAAGAAGGGATACGGGATGGAGTGATGGAAAGAGAGATAGAGCAAGAATGAAAACTTCTTTGGGAGTGATCTTTTTTTTTTTTTTTTTTTTTTTTTGTTGTTATTGAGTGGCACGTGCTTGAAGAGACAGTCACGGTTCTGGTAGCCATTTTTGATTACAGAACTTTTGAAACTGGGAAGTTGTTCTCGCCCAATCATTGTCGACTTGATCTTCAACTTTGTCTCACAGACCAAGCCCAGTCGACCCTTTTATCTGTCACTCTTTTGTCACCCATTTTTTTTTCTCTAAAATTCGACTTTTCAAAAACTACCACCGCTACTGTTGCTGTTGTTTTAGCATATTTCCTCTACTTCGTTACTTCTCAAGCATCCACGATACCATCACAAGTTTACTCCATACCCTGTACTATATTCATTTTAGTTTTTTTTTTAACAAATATAAACAAGTCAGCTGCCATGATCAACGATATCACCATGGCCGAGGAGGAGTGCAAGCCGTCAATCAATATCGCACCCTACATGTCAAAGTAAGCCAATGAAATATTTATATCATTGGTAGTCACCACATCAACGACCGCTTTAATTAGATCCAGCATGCTTAAATGATTACTTCATATCAATTTTTTTTTTTTTTTTTTTTTTTTCCAAAAAAAAAAAAAAAAAAAAAAAAAACAGATTTGTACGGTCGCTTCATGTTGAGGAAGATCATCCAATACTCAAAACGCCGTTTTCGTATACTCAATTTGGCGCTGTATTGATGGTTGATATCGTGGGTTTTAGTCAGGTAAGAGAGTTGACCAACTTTACTTTTATGGTGGATCAAGTAGACAACTTTTTTTTATTTTTATTTTTCTATCATTATTATTTTAAGCTGAAGAGTAATCTTGAAATGAAGGATCTGTTTCTGCTAATAGATGACCAGCATTGCCTCGTCAAAGGGAGATGTTGGTGCAGAGATGCTCTCTTCACAAATTGGAGCATATTTTGATATGGCTATTAGAATTATTGAATATCATGGAGGAGATATTGTAAAGGTAATGTAGCACAGCCACTAATGTGCATTGACATCGAAACCCCTTGGCATATGATACATCCTACATACCTATACTCATCTTCGCCTTGACTACCATGTATACGGCTTGGATATTAGTTCCTAGGAGATGCTCTTTTGGTTGTATTTCAAGCTGATCCATCTGCAGAGCGCCTTCAAACACCCGAGAGCACGCCAGATACCATAGACGATCACACAGACCCTTTCCTATCATCCGATGGTATTCAAGCATCCTCACAAAAACGAGACAAAATTGCCGTTCGTAAAGCCATTGAATGTAGTTTGGAACTCTTGACTCGACTCTCTAATTACAGGATTTATCTCTCACAACGTGAATTTTCACGGAGATGTTCGGCCTCCTCAAGCGGATCTGATGGCAGCAACAAGGATGAGGGAGGCAATACTATCGCGAATACAATGCAAGGAAACGAGCCTACTCCAAACGGATTGGATATGTTACGCAGCAGTGAACATGACTCAAGGTCGCCACATCATCAAAATATAACGGCTGGCTTGAGCGATTTACAATTATTGACAAACAATAGTAGTACCTCATTAGCAGGATCCACCACCAGTGATAGATCTAGCGCTGATAGTAGCCCTCAAATGAACCCACCAAAGCCCTCACACGCCAAAGCCTTGCACAATGCGGTCACGAGGCATGTGCCACCTCGCCTCATTATTGGTACAGGCCCAGGAGCAGCGAGTATTCCAGCATTGCACATCATCGCACCCACCCCCACAGTGGCGTCTAAGCCCTATCTTGACCATAGCAATATACCCACACCTATCTCGACACCTGCTATCCCCGGTGGCGTTTCTGATCTCAAAAGGCGTGAGGGCCTTATTCCCTCAGGTTCATCAAGGCCGGGATCAGCAACACCAAGGATGAGAGCCGGACTAATCGCGACTGCAAAGCATCTATTTGGCGGTCACTCAAACCCTAGTGACAAACAAGCAGGAAACACTAAGGGGGAAGCGCAGGTTACTGAAGCCGGAACGGCTCCAAACGATGCTCATGAATTGCAGCTGCATATGGCTCTCTCAGCTGGAGATATATGTAAGAACAGTCCATTAAAATGCCGCATTCAGCATTAGGGATACAGGCTTTGTTTTGGAAGCTAAGTTACCATGTTTTGAGCTGACTTTTTTTTTTTTTTTTTTTTTTTTTCTATGATATTCTTGTTATCATCATTAAGCAAACATCATTATTGGAGACATTGGTGGTAATGATGACCTAGGAAGCCTTCTTGTTCAGAATACTGGCCGTCTAGAATATGCTATTTGTGGTGAACAAATGTCAATATTGGACCACGCTCTGAGCTTGGCAAAAGCAGGAGAAGTCACCATCACTGCAAGCGCGCAGAAATACGTGAATACAGATTCTTATCCATCTCGAGAACCAAGAGGAGATTATATTATTCTAAGAAACCCGCAGCAAGGCACTAGCACCGACCTGCCACTTTTGAGGCGTGTCCGGAACGATCGGTTACTCAATGTTCCTGTGGGTAGTAACCCACATTATTTCAAGTAAGATGAGTTATACAAAGCAAAAAAAAAAAAAAAAAGGAATGTGATCTGTTCTTTTAGGCCATATCTTGACTTTTTAATTATCCCTTGTTTCTTCCTTCCTTCATTTGATATAGATATATTAACAAGTCGGCCATCCACCGACTCATTCTTAATCCTGATGGCGCATTTCCAGCTCAGTTTCGAAATGCTACTATCCTGTTTGTTAGCCTGGGAGATGTCAAGCCTTGGACTCCTGAAGGCCTTTCTCTGTGTCAGAGGGCCATGGTTGTTGTGCAAAAGGTGACGGCAATGTATGAAGGTAAGAAGGCTTCCTGCTTTAACATTTCTTGCTTATACCTCATATATTTAGTGTTGAATCATCCTGATTTACCAAGTTTGTATTTCAAAAAAAAAAAAAAAAGGTTTCATTCAACAATTTGCAGTAGATGATAAGGGTGCAACCATCCTCTGTGCATTCGGCCTTCCATATCCGCGGTCTCATGAAAAGGAAGCAGTGTTTGCAGTCAAATCTGCCTGGCTTATCCGACAACAGTTCCTTGAAGAAAATATGCATGAATTTAGAATCTCACTAGCAACAGGCGTAATTTTTACAAGCACGATTGGGAATGAGTTTCGGAGAGACCCAGCAATTGTAGGGGATACGATTGTCATTGCAGTCAGGATTCTGAAGTTTGAATATGCCAAAGAATCTATTATCTGCGACGATGCGACTATGCATGCCTGTACATGTGACTACGACGGGCTATGTGAATTTGAGGATATGGGCGAAGAATATGTCAAGGGTAAGGTGCATCCACTGAAGATTTGGCGACTTTTGAATTTTGGAGCAAAGAAGCAACTCCCTCGCCCAGACGATATTAGTGTGGATGAGGCTATTGGATACAAGCCCGAACGAGAAAAGGTCGCCAACTTCCTTGAAACATGGTCAAAAAAGCCTGACAGGAACACAGTGCAAATAACAGGGCCACGAGGCTCCGGAAAGCGCATGTTCCATCAACAAATCTGCCGCCTTGCTCGCCATCATGGGTTCCAGATATGTTGTGCGAGGTCTGTCGAAGTCGAACGGAACACTGAATATTATCCTATAAAATTTCTACTATTGGGAATATTTGACATGATGCGGAGCCAGGATATTCCATTTAACACGAAGGATTTAGAAACAAAGCTCCAGAAATCAGAAAGAAGCGAAACAGACAAGAGGGAGACCAGCTCTCATTCTATGAAAGACCTCAGCCCCATATCTACATATATGAACCCGCCCTCTCCCTTTGACGATGGACACGATACTCCCTCAAACTTGGCTTACATGGATTTATCCCCCAACTTGGATATAGCACAGTACTCGGAGTTTTCAGAGAATCAGCCGTCAGACCGAACCAAACTTGAAGAGCTCGTTGGTTTATGCTTAGATAAAGTGAAGTCTGCAGAGGATGGTTTAACGATGCCTGTCCTAAATAGGATTATTGCAGCTATATCTGTCGAAAATGCTTCGCCCATGATTAGCAAGGAAGATGATCAAATCCTAAGCAAGTTCATTGTCTGCACCTTAAACTACGCGGCTCAATTCGTCAAGATCATTGTTATTCTTGAAGATATTCAATGTAGGTTTGGAGGTGATTTATCTTATCCGCTTCGTACCTACGAAATATGCACACTTTAATCTCCTAAGATTTTAATCTCGATGCCATCTTTCATTTTTATTTTTATTAATAGGGTGCGATGGGAAATCCCTTAGCATTATTCAAGCAATCCACGAGGAATGTCCATCTGTACTCGTAGTCATTTTCTCGCGCCCACAACGAGATTATGGCTGCAATAATGTCCTAAATACCATCACTAGCCATTCAATGCATCTGCAGATCTCTCTCGTAGGCCTGAAGCGTAAAGAGATTGAACAGACCCTCCTTCAAGCATTTAGGGCTAGTGGGGTCAATCGCATCAGTCCTGATGTCCTGGAGCTAGTTCAAGAGAAGACCAAAGGCAATCCTAAACTTGTCAAAAGCATAGCTATGAAACTCCGGGATTTTTGTCACGTCAATATCGTCGATGGTGAACTTTTGGCAACAGGCAAGGACCCAATGCTGAATGCACCCTTCAAGTCTCCGGAGGAGAAGATGCTTCAGCAGGACCGCAAAATGGTTACATCTAGGCAGTACGACCGATTAAGCCCAAGGTTTCAGGGCTTTTTGAAGATTGCCAGCTGTCTTGGCGAAAAGTTTTCGCTTGCGGAGGTAGGGGCCATTAAGCCTGTAGAGATGCTGTTGGGTGCGCCAGATGGAAAAACCTATGGAGCGGTGATCAATGAGCTGGATACATACAGATTCCTATCGCTTGCAACGGAGCAACAGACCAACATGCAGTTCTCGAGCAACCCATCTTTGCAAACTATCTACATGTTCACTTCACCTTCTACGGCGAGCGACATTTACGAGTCGATTCCATATGAGGAGCGTGTTGGATACCATCTCAAGATGGGTCTGTTTTATGAGTCTTTTCTGGACCAAAAGACAGAGAATGAAGACTTGACTGAGCAGCCGCTCGAATGTCAGGACCTGCTTCCACATATCAGATACCACTATATGAGAACAAACTATACAGAGAAGAAGATCAAGTATCTCAAGGCGCTTGCAGAATACTACCTCAAGAGCAACATGCTAACGGATGCTACCGACAATATTAATGGAGTGATTCAAATCATAAAGACAGAACCTGATTCAAAAGGGCTGATCAGTGAAGAGGAGATGGCAGACATTTACAGGATCAAAGGCGAGTCTCTCTCAAAACGTATGCGGGTTGACGAGGCGGAGCCGGCTCTTTTGGAGTGCCTTGCCATGTACGGCATCAAATGGCCGTCGACGAAGAGTGAATGGAAACGGGATTTATTAAGAGAGTGGTTAAAATTTAAATATTTCTATGCTCGTGGCCTGACTCCAGTCCCCCATAAAGCAGGCAAAAAACCACAACAGGCGAAGGGCGATGCCAAAGCACAGATACGTCTCGCACGACTGATTCGCGTGTTTGTCTGTTTGCAAAATATTTACTTTTGGAGAGTACAGACTGATTATGCCATGCTTTCCAGTCTCTATACACTGTCGTATTCACGCAAACTTGGCTTACCCAGCGGCGACCAAACAATTGCACTTGGACGTATTGGAATTGTTCTATATTATCAGGGCAACAGACGCGGCTTTGAAAAGTACATGAAGGAAGCCTGGCGTAGAAATAATGCAGGAGATACAACTGCAGGGATGCTAGAAGCCATAGATGCCTATGCTCAGTATGGAGATGGTCATCAACTTGAGGCCCATCGATTGTTGGATATCGCCATCAATGAGAGCAAGACATTCGGAGTCGTCACTCACCTTGCAAGCTTTTATCGCGCTGTGACTCAAAAGGCTGCATATCGCATGTGGGAAGGGGCTTTCAACACCAGCCGTGAGGATTGCCAACTTCTACGCTCATTATCTGTAGTTGCGATTCAGAACGGCGACAGTGAGGGGGAGACCCTTTTTGCCATACCTACTTTAGGCAACCTACTGTTACAAAATCGATTTCGAGAAGCAGAGTCATGGGTGGTCCTGGTCGAGAAGTTCATTATGCCCAAGGCTAGGCTAATTAACTTATTGACGGTATATGGAGTATTGGCATTTTATTATGCCAAAATCGGTTACTACGACAAGGCCCGTAGGTACACAGAGCTTCATTCTAAAAGGATTGAGGAGCAGGGAATTGGGGCGCATCCATTCCCACTGATGAGCTGCCTATTTACTTTGATGGCTTTATATGAGATTCACAACCGTAGGCGCTCGTACATGCGTGCAAGTGTTCCAGAACTGACAATTCAGACCCATGGGCATGGAGTCGCCAATGTAAGCCATATGATTGCATATCTTAAGACAGATCCACTGAAGCTGATTTCAGAGCCCCTTATTTGTCTTGCAGATGCCATGGGAAGCTTCATCATACCGGGGAATGAAAAAGAAGGTGGTCGAAAACTCATCCGAGGCTACTCCGAGTTAAGTGCCTCACTTGAAGGCATCCAATTTCTCAAGGCTTTCTTCATGGCCCAATTATGTCGCCATTCGGAGCCAAGTGTGCAGGGTGAATACTATCGCAAAGCCTTTTTGCTTTTCCAGTCTATGTCGATGGACCCGTCAATCTGGTTGACGGATCCTTCACCCATGCCGTCCCAATTGTGGCTGCTTCCAAAGGCAAAAGAAATGGAGGACCTTAAGGAGGAGCGAACCAGACATATACTTGATGAAACCCCTATGTCCACTCGTCCTCAGTTGGTTGATCTTGATGTGAGTTTACGCACAGGATCGATGAATGCAATCGACATTGCCGGTATAAAGGTCGGATCTATATCTCCACCCGGGTCTGGGTCTTCCGGAGCCATGTCTGAGCCTAGGACAAGTGCAGCTGAGTTAAGGCCTGCAATCGAAGCAATGGCACTGGATGAGACGGATGGCCACGACACTACGATGGGCCTTGATACCATTGATCTTGACGAGAATTTGTTTGATGATGAGCTGGCAACGGCCGCAGTCTCCTCTGCGCCAATTGCACACGACATGTGAGAGTACAAACCTGCTGTCAAATAAAACAAAGTTGACCCGCCACCAACTTGACTTTCAAAACGAACTGTGTCTTCTTTTCTTTCCAGCTGTATTAATTGATTTAAATTTAAAAAGCCATTTCTAATGATCTTTACTGACATTCAATCCGACAGTGACTCATCAACTAAAAGTTCATTGGAGCAAGTTCTCTCCATTGCAGAGTTATGGGCAGGAATCACTGTATACCTTCGACCACGGCAACTGCGCCGTCTGCGTCTAGTTTCCAAACGCGTCCACATGGCCTGTGAACCCCATATGCGCATCGTCCTTCCTCTCAACAATCGTACATCCCCAGACCTTATAGCAGACTCCACGTTCCCCGCAGAACTCGTTACGTCTATCAGGCTGGATGCACTGGATAGTGTATCCCCGATGATAGCTGATCTGTTTCAACGTTGCAATCGAATCAATTCGCTCGAGATCAATGACTTTGGCCTAGATGTCTTCTTTTTGAATGAGATATTGGATCTCTGTCCTTTACATCTGCGTCGCCTTGCTATTAAGTCCGATGGGTTTGTCGCGGTCGAGTCAATGGTAGATGCTTTGCTGGGATCCAAGGCTGTTGTTCATATCCAGATACTGTGTCTAGAAATTGGTGATACAGGGTTGGATGATACACAGTCCTTGCCATGGTCCTGTTTCAGGTCCATACTCAGCACTTGCTCTTCTTTGTCGATGCTATCTCTGAAAAACATCAAGATAATGGATGTGCCTCAACTGCTGGAGGAGACAAATGAATTTCATGCTACTACAAAGTCCTTTCCCAATATTGTCACGCTTAGCTTGTTACAGTGTGATGTCACTGGTATCGGGCGTATTCGACTGTTGAGAAAGTTCCCAAACTTGAAGAATCTTGAGATGGTTGTCAGAGATGACGCTTTTAAGCTTGATAATATCGACGATAGCAGCGAGGATGGACAGAATAATGGACTTATACGAAATGGAGCTGAAACAGGGAATCAATATCAGTTGTGTAAGAGTTTGAAGCGATTCAGCATGAGATGCACCAACAATCGGTCGCACGCTGATCAAGCCCACTTGTGTGAATTTCTACGTCAATTACCTAGTATAGAGACGTTGGAGTTAGCGGGCTTTGGGTTGAAAATGAGTTACCAACAACTACTAGAGATTTCAGAGGACTGGACACGTCAAGGCAGACATCTAAAAAGGCTTTTTCTGGACATCAATCCTCGCAAGGTGACAGAAGAAGGCCTGAAGAATATACTAAAGTACCAATGCTACTCAAGGCTAGAGTCCCTGGATATATGGTGTGGTCCTGATCTGATATCGAGCTTTTGGAATCATGATACACAACGATCGGAACTACCGTTTTTGAAGTCATTAAGGGCACTGCACTTGCGGCAGATAGTATGTGTGGAAGACTTGGACAAGGACGCATTATTGGCGCTGAACCTCACATTGAAGCAGATGCCACGGCTGGTTGATCTGACAATTGCAGCCCAGTTGGACGACTTCACAGTATTCCAGGGCTTGGGTCGAGATCCAGACGTACCACTTCCACAACCCGATGCACCAATTACCAATGTCGATTGGTCCCAAGAACGACCATTTCTGCAAACACTTACGATCGGGTATAGCCAAAAGTTTTATAGAGATAACATGAAGAAGATGTCTCAACAGATTGGGAAGCGGTTCCGATTTTTAGAAGACTTTCGGTTACTAGAACTGCAGTAAAAAGAAAAACCTCCCTCTCCTCGCTTGAAACTCCTTTTAAGGGGTCGGTCTTTTATTCAGTTTGCTACATCTGTAGAGTTTGAAAAGGGTCTAATCTTTTTTTTTTTTTCCTCATCACCATCATTCCATGACCTCTTGACATTTTTTAAAAAATCTCCGTGCATCTCACTTCTGAAGATTTTATCAAAACATTTTGAAGACCTACAAAAAAAACACCGCACAATATAACATAATCTAAACAAGAGTCATGGTGTCATTTCGTGCCGGTACCATGGCAGTCTTGGCTACATTCTTTGCTGCCATCTCCTCCTTGCCTTCAACCACATCAGCATTTTATATTCCAGGCCTTAGCCCAACAGTCTTTCGAGAAGGAGACTCAGTTCCACTTTATGTGAACAAGATTTTTTCAGAAAAGTCACCTTTACCATATGCTTATGCAGATCTGCCCTTTGTTTGTGCTCCACCAAAGAATGCAAAAAAAGCGTGGCTCAACCTGGGTGAAGTTCTAAGAGGGGATCGCATCTCGACATCTGACTATGAGGTAAGCAGATAAAAAAACAAATAGGGCTATATGATTATTTCTTTATTCTACTTTTTCTCTTTCTTTCTGTATTCTAGTTTATCGCTTTTAGAAAAAGAGATCGCGGAACATCTGTTAAGCGAAGAATAGGAAAGAGAAAGAGGAAAAAAGGAAGGGAAAGGAGAAGGGAGGGCAACTGACTCTTTGTGGAGAGAGAAAGTCGTCTCTTTTTTACCGATGCTTTTTGTTCATTGAGTTATTTTATTTTGTTTTATTTTATTTTGTTTTATTTTATTTTATTTTTTTTCAATGGAAGAAAAAGTCTAAATTTATCCTTGCCACACAGACCTCACTCACTACATCCTATTTTGGGCCTATCGTTTTATCGTGTGTAATGTTGCTAATGTCATTCTTAATTCTTAATAGCTGATTGTAGGTCAAGACATCAAGTGCAAAATCCTCTGTACAAAGCGCGTTTCTGCCGAAGATGCTGCACTCGCAAGGGACTTTATTGCCAACGATTACAACGTGGAGTGGTTAGTTTTAATTTCATTATATATATATATGTACATATAAATAGATATATAGCTGATACGATAATTTTTACATTACTATTCGTTATAGGATTGTGGATAACTTGCCCGGCGCAACGCGATACAATTTGGGAGACGGTCAAGCCAACAAACAGTGGAGATATAGGGCTGGATTTCCTCTGGGCAAAGTCAAATGGGTAAGAAACCCAGATAAAAAAAAAATAAAATAGGAATGGATGTCGTGAATCGATGACATTGTAATCTTCAGTCTGGAAAATTTTCTAACCCCAATACTGATGCGCTTATTGCTGCTAGTCAAACAGTAACATCCACAACCATGTCACAATCCGTATCTTGTACCAAAATCAGCAGGGACCATCGAATGGAAAACTGATTGTTGGCTTTGAGGTCTCACCCTACTCGTAAGAATAATGGTTTCTCCTAACCTGGGTTCTATTAAATTCATCTAACAGAGGGAACTGGCTAAATACAAAGATGATGTTGCATTCTATGCTATATAGTATTGATCAAGGAGATAGCGATCTATGTCCCGAAGATCCTTTGAAGGTGGGAGCTTTTCAGACAGTCTCGGATAAGGAGGTCGACATTCAGTACACATACTCGGTTCAATGGATTGAGGATAAAGAAATCACCTGGAAGAACCGCTGGAATCTCTATCTTGTCAGCACTGACGTCCAAGTGCATTGGTATTCGATTGTCAATTCGATTGTAATAATGCTGTTCCTGACAGGATTGGTCAGTCTCATTATTATGCGTACGCTAAAGAAGGATATTGCGATCTACAGCGAGGAAGAGATGAAGGACGAACAAGACGAGGGTGCAGGCTGGAAGTTGGTTCATGGAGATGTATTTAGGACCCCAAAATATTCTTCCTTGCTATGCGCTGTCATCGGGTCTGGTGTTCAAATTCTTGTTATGGCAATTTCTATCATCAGTACGTTCTTGTGTTAAGGCTAGCTGAACCACTCTTTCAACGTAACAGATCATTCATATTAACTTTTATTTGCACGCTCTAATATTTTTATTAACTTGTTTTCCGTTTGACTAGTTTTCGCTCTCCTTGGAATTCTCAATCCATCCTATAGAGGTGGCTTCGTCTCCTTTGGACTATTCTTCTTTGTTTTTGCTGGGTAAGGGTTAAACGCGTTATATTTGGTCGGAATAACAGTATAGTGTTCATTGGCAAACTTTATTAACCAAATATCGCTTATAACTTATAGAGCATTTGCGGGCTATTATTCTGCACGATTATACAAGGTCTTTAGGGGCATCTCATGGACAAAGAATGCCATTATTACCTCCACGCTTGTCCCCGGATTCTTAATGACCATTGTCTTCTTACTCAACCTATTTGTGTGGTCCAAGAACTCTTCCAACGCTATTCCCTTTGGGACTTTCTTTGCATTGGTAGTGATGTGGTTTGGCATTTCACTTCCTCTATCTTTGATTGGCGCCTTTTTTGGCCAGCGCAAGGCAGTCATCGATCATCCTGGACGTACAAATCAGATCCCACGACAGATTCCTGAGCCTATCTGGTATATGCGTCCTCGCTTCACGTAAGACTGTTTACCATCTTTACAAATACGATATAGCTTTTGTGTTTTAATACTTGTTGTGCATAAGGCATTCTATTAACCTACTTTTTTTTTTTTTTTTTTTTTTTGGACACCAGAATCGCACTTGGGGGATTGCTGCCGTTTGCAGTCATTTTCATCGAGCTATTTTATATGCTAAAGTCGATCTGGGAAGACCAATACTACTACATGTTTGGATTCCTGAGCCTTGTTTTTGTGATCCTGTTGATCACCTGCGTGGAGATCTCTATCATTGTCACCTACTTTCAGCTCTGTGATGAGGTATGGTCCTTTTTTATTATCTATTTTTATTTTTATTTTCATCTTCGACAATGCCCGTACTAACTACTTATTTTTCCTTTTCGTTATTCTACAGGACTATAACTGGTGGTGGAGAAGCTTCTTTGTGCCTGCGTTCTCTGCAGTTTACATTTTCTTGTATAGCTTGGTTTACTTCACCAAACAATTGTCAATCCATCATTTTGTGCCTGGCTTGATCTACTTCACAAACAGTTTGATGATCTGTATTGTCTATGCACTCCTGACGGGAGCGACCGGTTTTATTAGCACCTACTGGTTTGTTCGACGCATTTATTCTGCAGTAAAGATTGACTAGGCAGAGAATATCACTCCCTTGTGATCAAGACCAATGGAGGCTATAAATTTCTTTTTTGCTTTTAATAAACAAACAACATGCAGGGCCCATATTTTGTATTTTTATAGATAATGTCGTACCAACACGCTTGTAAACACATTCATGTCCCCATTCTTCGTAGAGAACAATAAGTCTCAACTTTACTGTTTCATGAGTGCATGCATGCCAGCTTCTTTTCTCTCGGCTTTCTATTTTCTGAAGTCTGTTTGTTTTTGGAGACCACACTCATTTCAAATGCATTATTTGTTGGTGAAAGGAAGGGGCTATGCTGTAGCCTCATTGTTTGGACCTCTACATATAAATACTATGAGGATATCTTAAACACCCTCTCTTTCCCACCCTTACACCCACCTTGCTAGCTATACTAGTTGTAGTATTTCGGAGTTACCTTTCCATTCCGCTTCAGTTGTGCTTCAAATCCTTCTATACCATGTTGCTACACGACCACACTAAGAGTAGTGATTGTAAACATAATCACGAACATCCTTCTCAAACCAAAAGTTACTGTGGTGCTGTTGATATGACATGGCGTCCATTCCTCTCTATTGCCTCCGTTATTCCTTTACCTGCGTATCACCAGACTGTCTACCTACAACTATTTCCATCCGCTGCACCAATGAACCTGGCATTTCCTGCTCCACCCTCTTCTTCACAGCGCCGCCGATCTTTACCATCTCCAACCCAGGCTTTCGTCAAATTAGCAGATCATTCAATAATGGCCGCTGGGGTACCTCCAATAACTCAGACGTCGAATATGGCAGAACTACCATTTTCTCAACCACATTCATTACATTCCAAATTGACGTCTTTCATGGATCCAATAACGGCGACGAATACCATTACCAGTATGTTTCCTCAAGGCACCCACCGTGTAGTGCAACTAATAGATGACAGTAAGGAGCCGAGTGCAAGCGATCATAGGGGTACTGCTATGATTGTGATCATAAGCGGTATCGCCCTGGTAGTCATAGGTATTGGTGTACTCATACTATGCTATTGCCGCCGACGAGTGCACCATCGCAAGTCTTCCTCAACATCAGCATCAACATCTCTCTTACCATTAGTACCAGTTCCAGCATCATCATTATCATCATTATCATCAACATCAACATCATTGTTATCATCACTATCACTTTATCCAGCGCAAACAGAAGATAAGAGCAGTCATCGTCCGTTGGGGGCTCCGCCACGTGTATGTAATCAGTGTCGATGTCGATTAAGCAACTATTCTTTGGAAAGGACCTTGTCACCTCCAACGGAGACAGTCAAAGGTTGGCCTTCTGGCTTTGATAGTATGAGAAGTGATCGTGGAATGTGTATAGCAATGGAAAAGACAATGATTTCACAGGATCAAACCCATGCAAAAGATCCAAGGTTTGTTGGTTTTCATGACATAACCGCAACAGCGTTCGACATGAACTTTAGGACTCGTAAAGACCACTTTCACAACACCAAAGAGGCTTTTAAGGATCTAGAGAGGCAGCAACCTCAAGCCAAACAACAGTATGAGACAAAGAACCCGGAAGAGCATAACTGGTATCAGTATATTGTAAAGTCGGTAGTAAATGGTGATGTAAGATGGTCTCTTGCTTTGGCAAGAGCATGGAAGACCTTAAGTCACCCATCTCTCACAACTGGATCCAACCCGACGGTTGGTTACTTTGGAGACCATTGCAAGTGTATTGTCCCGCCAATCTCGGCGCCACCACCATTAATGATTAAAGAAACGGTCGTCGAGTTCCCCAAGGATGTCTTGACTTCAAGCCCCTGTCCTCTTTATACATCTGGGCTCGATTCAGTCACTGCTGCTGCCGCTCGAGTACCGAGTTCGATCCGCTTCGGTTCATTTTCTTCATTACCCATATACCCTTCGTCATGTTCTCTAGCCCTAGAATTCCAGGACGCTGTGCAAAAGGATGATACCACTACTCCTATGACTAACTTCGAATCCAAGGAAGCATTCTGTAAAGGTCTAAGTTCTTTAGCCCCTGCACGGGCTATTACTAGGTCCTACCACTCCAAGAACAATGTTCTGAAGGGTTCTTTAAGCAACGTATACCGCGCTACATCTTCATTGAGACGGCTTCAGGAAGGTTACAAGGATTGCTACCGTCACCACAGGCATCATTTTTACATCAAAAGCGCCCATGGAGACAAGACGAGTAAGAGTAACTACCCGTATCACTATCGCTACAATTACTATTACGGCTACTATTGCCACTCTTACTCTCGCTACAATCGCGGCAAGCGACGAGATGGGTCTCGGAAGTTGAGTGGCAAGCAAAACTGGAAATCATTGAAATACCACCGACTTCGGGATAGGAATTCTGATATACGAGTAGATGGTTATAATATATATCAAATCAATGACTTTAATTCACACTTGAGCCATGGTAATAATCAATCTTTGGAAAAAGCAATTGATAAAAAACATTCATTGAAGCAGCAGCAACAGAAGCAACAGAAGCAACAGAGACAGCAGGAGCATCAGCAGAATAAGCAGCAGGTCCAACATGAACCACAGCGGCAGCGACAACAGCAGCCATCATGGGGATTTCTGCTACAGTCTTACGAGTCACCATATACATGTGTGAGTGATGAGATATTAGCCCCTGCCATCTTTGAAAGCTCCACTCTGCCCAGCCATCTTTGGAGGTCTTAGAGTTTTGTTCTTTCTTTTCCTTTTTTTTTTTTTTTTTTTTTTTTTTTTTAGAAAGGATATAGGATGATAACTATAGAGACAAAGGATAGGACATAAAAAATAAAATAACAAAGTAATAGAGCTATCATCCATGACAACTCTTCTAGTTGGAATAAAAGCTTCATGAAAGTGTAAAAAGCACCATGATTACAACAATATTCATAATTTATTTTATTTCGGGTTCTGCATAAAGGGAGGATGGAAAGGGAAAGGGGCTTGGTCTCTGTAATATCTATAAAACTCTTCTTGCCTCAAAATTTCTTTATGCCTCTTTGGGATTCAAGCCCCAGCGCAACCATATTATCGGGATTGGCTTGATTAGGAAATAGGATGAATTGGTAAGGGCTTTACCTCACCAGCGAGGATCCTCCTTGGTAGGTTCGACAGTGTTGGGGGCGGGTGACCAGCGGGGATCCTCCTTGGTGGGCTCAACGGCATTAGAATCGGCGAACCAGCGAATGTCCTCCTTGGTGGGCTCGACAGAAGCAGCCGCCCCCTGCCAGCTGCTTGGGTCAGTAGAGCCATCAAGCGGAGCAGGAACGGGGGCTGCGATGGCGACTATAGCCAATGTGGCAATGATCGAAAGAGCAGAAAGTGTGAAGCGCATTGTTGCTGTTGTTGCGAAGGAGGTTTTTTTTTAAATTGAGTGGAGAGATCAATAAGATTGGAATAATGATTAAAAAGAAAAAGATTTCAGCTGCTATTAGAGGGTCATGCTTTTATACAAAAAAAAAAAAAAAAAAAAAAAAACTGGAGCGCATCATTGTAAAGTAAAGAGCGCGGAAAATATGCCTGATTATTTGCCCTACATGTAACATGTCTGACTATTGATTCTCTTGGATGCTCATGAGAAAAAAGAGAAACCCTAATTAGAGGTCTAAGCTTGCTGTGCAAAGGTGTTAAGTTTGACCTAAGAGCAACGCCGTTCCTTTTTACACATTAATCCCTTGGCATTTGGTTTGGGCAGTGCAGTTTCCTTAAACTTTATTTTTTTTCCTACTTTCAGTGAATGGACGCGACTATCCATTGCAACACAAACCCTGATTTGCTGCTGCGTAATGTTAGACAATCGGCCAAAAACAAATGCGCCGCTTTATTTGAGTAACATAACCCCCTTCACTTTGATTAGACTACCAAACCTAGCCATCTTCAAGAGGAGAAAAAATGGAAAAGACGAACAAAGGATTAAAAGATAATCCCCCCTCCCCCATATCATCCATTTGGGTGAATGGTTTAAAAAGGGATAATTGGGCGGTGCTGCATCGACCCTATTTAACCTAAATCACGGCAATAAGACGCGCATTCTGTGAGTATAATGTCATATGCTACATATACTAATGATGAGCTGGCGAGGAAACCCGCCGTGAGGTTCTTGCTGATATTGCTGCTATTCCTTGTATTCATGCATCAACCAACAAAAAAAAAGAACATTTTAAGCTTATTATATATTATTATAATCAATCCCAGTCAATCTATAATCTATGCCCACGTCAAAATCAAAAACTCGCGAAACGCCGTCAAAACTGTCTTTAGGTCTTTAGCCATGATTTGCTCGCGGAATAAAATTTCTTCGACATGATGCTGTCCGTCAAAATAGTGGATCAACCTGGGGGGGTTTTTTTTTTAAAAAAAAAGGAAAGAAAAGAAAAAGATCAATAACGACTTTCTATTTTCCTTTACAATACGTAACTCAATCATTACCTCATAAATAACTCAGTAACACTCTGCGGTTGATTCTCACACATCCGGAGGACCCACTCCCGCTCCATTTCTGAGGCTTGTCCCGGATTTGGTAAGATCGAGCTCGCATCCTGCTTTTTACCCATCAGCTTCCCGTATGGTATGCTCATATTGGATTTAAAACTAGAGCTGACTCCAGCACCTGGCTGTTGTCCATGTGCTCCTGGGCCTGTAGAAGATCGATTATGGTATCGGTACGTTTGAGAGGGCATTGTCTGTTGTTTCTGAAACATCTGCTGATGCTGCTGATGCTGCTGTTGTTGTTGATGATGCTGTATCATGGATGAGTGTACAAAATCTGCAGACTTGGCACTTCCTGCTTGTACGGCCATGGCCACAGTGGGTGATTCAAGAGTTGGAGTAAGAGCACCGCTGTTGTCTTCATTCATCATATGCTCATATTCTGCTGCGGTGCATCCAAGCTTGATGTATTCAGGAACGATGATTAAAATGTATGTGTGTAATTGCACTATTAGGTCCTTACGGAGCAAATAGGTCAAAACATCAAGGTAAGTTGTTTGGACTTCCTTGTCTTTACCTGCTCCGGGTATATGAGCTTTATAAGCTTTGGGTGTGGAGAGTTCATGAAGGATATTAGGAAGAGAGACTGTCGGATAGTGTTGTGAAAAGTCCGTAACGAGTGCTCTAAAGAAAAAAAAAAAAAAAAAACCATAGCATTAAAAGAGAAGGTGGTTTTTGAGTTCTATAGCCCGTTCATTCATTTTTTTTTTTTTTTTTTTTTTAAAAAATAATAATATTGATAATAATAATAATAAAAATGTCACCAAGGCTTACTCGTTGATGCCGGCCTGCGGTGCTACAACGTAGACATTAGTAACTCGAATCTGGTCGATCAGCTTGGCTTTCCTCCAGTAAATCAAGTGTGAAGCCAATCTATAAATTTGCGCCATTGAGCAATCCAGTATATATTGTAGTTCATCAAGGCTATCGATAAAATTTAGCAACCAAAATATACAGGAAAAAAAAAAAAAAAAAAAAAAAGACGTTCAGATCAGAGTTAATAAAGAGTAGAAATAATAAAGCCCATTGACATTGCATTCCTCTGTTCTATTGTGATACCATTGATATGGAACAAGGATCTGTACGAGCTTGACAAGCGTCGGATTGGCATCAAGAGGAATGTCCTTGAGGATCTCTTCGGGATCTTCGAGCAGCAACAGAGTGTGGTAAGGTAACAAGACTGGGAAGTTTTCGTATTCATATGCGGTCCCTCTTTCATAATCATCCATTATAAACCCTAAACTACTAATGCCGCTTCCGTATGGCGCAACCATCGGTGTCATCAACGCGTGTTGAGATCCAGGATTCTTTCCGCTATGGTATGAGTTGATATGACCATTAGAACCGTTGCCCGTAGGGCTATCATTTGTCAAGTTGTTTTGAATCCGTCGAGTGACATAAGAACTGCTCCGAGGCGAAGGCTCTAGATGAGGTATCTGTAGTGAAACGTCGATAGAGTCGTTCAAGACCACATGACACATTTTATCTGCAACTATACAGTCGTAAATAGATCGAACAGCTCGAGCCAATGAAGATTCTTCTAGAACTTGCTCATGAAAACTCTCAAGACTTAATCCTTTTTTTAATGAGGACAGAAGGATGGAAATGAGAGGAAAGGTTAGTGATTTGTTTATCTGTTTATCCCAAAAACATTAATAGTCAAGGAGGGGGGGAATAAAAAGCAATTGAACTTTTTATACAAGAATATGCCGAATGGCCATAATTATTTACACACCTGCTTGAGCTGCCTCTTCTCTGATACTCAAGATTTTTGATGCCTCGAGACTAACATACTGGCCGTTCAATTCCTCATATCGCAAAGCCGCCGTCAGTTTACAGGCGATGTTTTTGTAGACTCGATCTGCTACACAGTTAAGCTGCAGTTCTGTTGGTTTGAGTACAAAAACAACATGGAAAAATGACATTTGTTGAATATGCGTTGAAGGTGTCGATATAATTTGTGGAAACAGACTTGAGGCCGAACCCTGGGTGATTTGGATAGGTGGGGGAATTCCAAGTTGGGATCCAAAGTTCCCATAGATTCCACCTGTTGGTGTCTGTGGCATGGAGACAGGGTGATGCAATAGAGAAGACCCAAAACCGAACTGGTGGGCTATGGAGAGTGTCTGCTGTCCTGGAGTTTGCCCTGAAACTGGACTATCGCTCGGTGCTGGTGATACAGGGTTTGATGCATAGGTCTGACTCCTGAATCGTTGTTGTCGCCATCCTACAGGATCTGTGAACGACCTAGTAGCTGTGAGCATTGGGATATCCGATTCTTCCTTGGAACCGCGTCTGATCAACTCCTTTGTGCTCTTGCCACTAACCGATCCTCGGTGAGAGTCTGAATCGTCGTGTGAATCCCATTCATATCCATCAGAATCAGAATCAGAATCATCTATAAGTGGTGCTGCTCCGCCAACAACCCATCCTCGTTTCACGCGATGTTTTGGCGAACGAGAGGCTTTCCATTTCCAATAGTCGCGCCTTTCCCGGAACTCCGGCCCAGTGAGGGAGACTGGGTGTCCAATAAATGTCAAATCGTCCACAGTCAATTGGAACCGTTTATCACAAAGAGCTTGCCTAGGTGAAAGCAGATTGGCAAGGAACTGAATGTCGTATCCGAGTACCTTGGATGCCACTTGAAAGTCGCCTGTGGATGTCTTTCCCATCGTCCCCTGCTCACGGCGCGACGAGTCGGTGGTATTGGAGCTCGACTGCACCTCGGGTGGGTATTTGTAGACGAAATGATGACCTCGACTCGAGTTTGTAACAATGATGATGCCCACAAGGCCATTCATAATGCTCATGTCGTTAACATTGACAGCAAGCAGGTCCATGGTGGGCAATGCAATGACAGTAACCAATGAAGCTATATTGAGGGGGACCGTATCCACAGAACGGAAACAAGGCCAGACACAGAAAAGGCATGTGGCTTGGTGCCGGTATCTTTTTCAGTAAGATCGTCTTAAACAGAATTCTAAAATTCCATGCCCTACTAGGGATTGCTAACGGTACCCATCACCTGTTATTGAGATGAAAAAGAGCCACAAGACTAAGACCAAGGGCTATTGCCCCACCAATTTACTATTTTATTACTTTAATACATTTCTTTTATTGACGATGAGCTGACAGGACTCAAATATCCATAGCTTCCGTTGTGACAGGCTGAACTGTCTCCTTGATATCCACAAGATCACGGATTGACGACTTGAGCACCTGTGTTGTTCCCTGAGGAAACATGTAGCTATTAGGCCCGTGATATGACAAGATAGTCAGAAAGATAGCAATAAAGCAATACAACATTAACTATAATCGCGCTCTTGAAGCATAAAATATTATATCCTCCAACTCAAGCATTAGAGTGAGAAAAAAATTGTTGCATACCTTGCTTCCTTAACTCCACGCTCATTAGGTCTAGCATAATTTCGGAGGACTTCGACATTCTCCTTGGTAATCACGACAACATCGACGTTTGATCCAGATCCAAGATCGTTGAAAATACCGGCTTCAATGGCATCCTGCACTAAAGCAATGGCGTCCTCGCGCTAATGGTTCAGACAGGTGCACGAAAGAGGTATATATTAGGCATCTCATTAGATCATTGGGGGGAGGAAGAGGATTGACGGTGAAACATTCACGACCGTGGATATGATGTATTTCTATTTCTATTTCTATAACAATTGTACGTACGTCCATGTCAGCCTTGAAACGGCTTTCAAAAACACTCATAGCAGCAAGTGATCCAGAGCCCATGGTGACATATGGAAGCTTATCTGTACTTCCATGTGGGTAGATTGTGTAAAGGTGAGGTCCATTGATATCGACTCCTCCAAGAATCAAAGCAGCTCCAATATGTCCTTGGTACCTAAATAAGAATACGCAATTGTAATGACAAGGTGATAGATATTAAGAAATGTATTCTGAGATTATTTCGATATTTCAAAGTTGAAAAGAAAAGGAAAAGAAAAGGAAAGAAAAAGAGAAGAAGAAGAGAAGAAAAGAAAGGAAAAGGAAAAGAAAAAGACTTACTTGAACAGCATCTGCTTCAACATTGTCATGGCAGTAACAACGCGAGCTTGACGTCCTGTACTTAAACGATGAAGCTCCAATTGACTGCTGATCAAGGCTGTGGTCATTTCTGTGTCTGCTGCTGTCCCTGCACCACAGCAGTACATGTTGGGAGCCAGATAATGAATCTTCTCACAATTCTTGTCTGCAACAATGGGTCCGGCTGTGGCACGAGTATCGGCACCGAGAACAATACCGTCCTTGTAAATCAGTCCAACAATGGTCGTTCCTGTCTTGGTCGCTTTTGGCAGTCCGAGACCCTTCCCTTCCAACATGGTGTTTCTATATCCATTTTATTTCAATTTCAAAGTTAGGAGACGCGTCCTTAATAATCGTCTTATGAACCTGTATGTAAAAAAAAAAAAAAAAAAAAAAGGAAATTGAGACAATCCAACTTACCGGACATGGTTGTCAAAATTGAATCCACCTTTGGTCTGTGGCAGTCGGGAGGTCATGCTGTGTCTTTAAAGTGGTTTATATGTTTATAGAAAAGAATGTCAATGAAGACGAGAAGAGATGGGATAATGAAAGTAGAAATAAAACAAGCAGACAGACGATGCGCATGCGCGAGTATATTGCGACTGTCAAAAGGGAGCTTTCGTGTATCATGGCGACTTACGTGGGCGCGTTGAACTGTGAATCTGGGCAGATTTAGGCAGTCATATATCACGTGTATAGCCCGTGACGTAAGCATCGCGCGCAGAAATACGTCCCAATTCATCTTTGGCCTCCCATTTTTGCTTCTTTCAGAGAGTCCTTGGGGCGGTTCAATGGATGAGGAAGATAAAATGTAATAGTTAATGCCCTGCTTAGGACAGTTTCCTTGTCATCCAATGCAGTGCTCCTAAACGAACATATCGAACTCGAAAATGAATCATGGTAAGTTCGAATGATTCGAATGACACCCTTAAGTTACAGATCTCTGGATAATTCGAGTCGTTCGATTACTTCGAGTACCGAATGGCTCGAATGATTCGGACACTTCATAACTCGAATTGTTCAAGTGATTTGAGTGGTTCGAATTGCCAAGTGATATAGTTTAGAGTTTGAATTGTAAAAAGGTTATTTGATTTGCTAGGTTGTTTCGTGCCATATTTGCTAAATTGGGCAAGTGTTCATTCTGCGAGCGCCAGTATACCAACTCTGGAGGCTCCTGTTTGCTAGTAACTAGCGAACTTCCTTCACGGACACACTCTTCAAGCTCGTCAGCTTTCTTCTTGGTTCCATATAACCTCATTTCCATCTCTTGTTCTGCCGGCAATTGGATTGAGCCTTCTTTTTGTTCAAGGATGGAAAACATACAAGTGCGTCTGATTGGAAGCCCAGGATCTCGCTTACAAAAGAACTTACAGAAGGCTGCTAATGGTACTCATGACATGATGCTCAAGGCTGGCTTTGCACCATTGCCCTTCACTCGATTAGCCACATGCACCATTGATCTTCCAGAGTTATTGCAACGCGACAGTGAAAGCTTTGTCGGGGATGAAAAGTCGAAGACGGTCTTGGAGGTTTTATTTTCAAAAAGTGATCATTTAGTGAATTTCTTCTGGTGGTAAAGGGTATCATATAAACATGTTATTCATATACAATACCTTGGCGATGATAGTAAACTAATGACATTAAATAATAGAATAACAGTATCCAGTATTTCGATTTTTTATTGATCATTCTTTTCATTAACATTTTCACCCTTGATTTCGATATTTGGGTCATTCCAGGGACTTCATCAGTCCAAATCGTTCTTTCACTTTCGATATATATTCTTCCTTGTATCCTTCTTTCCCTGCGCGGTAGTAACACTTACTATCATTACTCCCGCAGCCTGCCTCCCCATTGCTCTCATTTATCGACCCAAGCACAGATCGTTTGAGACACTCTACCAAGTCCCTCGAAATCAAAACCCAGTTCTCTGGCCCATTCTGAGACCTCAGTTCCTTTCCTCGCGTTCTGCTTGGCGACCATGACAAAGACCATGATGGCTGCCACTTGTCCAATGTCGGAATGGATCAAGATCGGGCCTGGCAGTGTTTCAACTAGATGAAGAATCTCATCAAAATCACTAAAACCGATCTCGTCTGCACTCTGTCGACATTGATCATTGTAAAAAAATAAAAAATAAAAAAAAAATAAAAAAAAGAATAGGAGGAGGGTAGACAGAAGCGTTTAGATACATCTGTTCTCTTTTCATACATAGGTATCCAAACCTATAGCGGCATTATTATAAATAAAAGAAAAAGAAAACAACAATAACGAAATAATGACCTTGATAGGATGTGAGACAAATTCGATCCCAGCAGCTTTCCAGAGATCACCCTCTTTAGCAAGGTATTCTCCAGGGTTTTGTTTTGATTCCATGCCAATGACGCTTTTGAAACCGACATTGATCAGACCTTCAGTAATCTGGCGCTCTGTTGGGGTGGGTGAAAACGCAAGGTGATCTGTGATCTTGGAGTAGGATGCACTCCAATGTTGAGCAAATGATTTGACTGTGTCGGAGACCCAAGCCAACAGTTGGTCATCACTCTCCTCAGGCGTGGGCTTCTTAGGAAGCTGAGCCGCGGTGATGGAGGTTTGGAAAACATGTCCTCGAAAAAGTGCAAACGTTGGCGTACGTTCGACATTGTACTTTTTGACTGTTTGCTGAGAAATAATAATGATAATAATAATAATAATAATGATAGTAATAATAAAAATATATAAATTAAAAAAACAGTCAACAAGTGAGCTAAGGAACAGCAGAGTAGGAGAGCAGAAGGATAGGAGAGTAGGAGAGAGAGAGAGAGAGAGAATGAAAGATAATAAAAAAAGACGCGTTTTTGGTGGCGAAGCAGTGCTCAACTGTCGTGGGCGTAATGATGACTTGTTAAATTGAGTGGTATCCCCCACAAAGCACGCGATTTCCTCTCTCTCTTTTAACAAATAAAGTTTGGGTTATGGATTTGTCAGAATTTTTTTTTTTTTTTCTCTCTCTTCCCACTCCTTTTCTATCCTTTCCTTCTCTTTCCTTTCCTTCTTCCTCCTCTTCTTCTCTCAAAACATTTAAAAAGTGAAGACGAGGAAAGAGAGAGAGGATACAAGTTAAGAAATAAATGATAAACTCGAAACTATAGGATAGATTCCATCCTTACCACCAGTTCATCCACATCCACATGAACAAAAGTTGCAATCTTATGTAGGTCTTCAGCCATCTTTTCAATTGCACTTGCTAAATGGAACATTTTTTTTTTTTTTTTTTTTTTTTTAAAAAAAAAGGGTATACAGACAAAGATCAGGGGAATGTTAAGACATGGATATTTATCTACTTGATGAACTATACTCATATGATTACATGGAAGAATCGATGGAGTTAACAAAATAACATTAAAAATAATTGCACGAACACAATCTCTTGCAGTTCTTGCACCAGGCTGTCGTGAAGACAAGGACTAGTTGACGATGATGATGTTCTAGCAGGACCTTGTCTAATTCATTGTCTGTAATGGGTGAAAGAATAAAAGGTGAAGCCATGATACGTGTATTGCGCAATGTCTGATGGGATCAATTGACTATAATGATGTTGTTTCCAGAGAAGGAAGGAAGGAAAGGAAAGGAAAGGAAAGGAAAGAAAAGGAGAGGAAAAAGATTTGGCCCTGATCCTCACAAGAGTTGAAATGGATGGAATGAAATGAGAAGAATGAGCAAGTGCTTGCAATGAAAGAGGATGAGAACTGAAGAAGTGAAAAAGAAGAGTGTAAAAAGTGGAAAGAGTGTGTAACAAAGAGAAGGGTAATTGTCAATAAAAAAAAAAAAAAAAAAAAAAAAAAGTTCACACTTGCATTCTTCGTGTGTCCAATGTCACACAAGATCTTTCTGCATTTTTTATCCCCTTAGTGTCAGATTAGTAATTCTTGTTTTTTGGTACATGTCCTGTCTGACAAATCATGCCAAACCTTCAATTATCCCGATTATCCATTGTGGAAAACAAGTTGGAAGAACATGTTCAGACCTGCAGAACACTTTATTGCTTTTGTTTTGAATACATTGTCAAATAGTACATTCTTATACATGTACACTTCTGTAAAGTGCTATTTCATAATGCTAACTATGATTACTATTATGTTTATATTAATATCTTGCATTATTATCTCTTACGTTCATGTGGGACGCACAATTTGTGACACCACAAAAAGACGCTTCCCACCATTTGGTAACATAGATGGAGGAGCCACTTGCGGTTGCGATGGTGCTTGAATATCGATCAGTTTCACCTTGGATGGCGCCTCCACGGGGGTATTTGTGATAGATTGTTCAATATCTTTTGTAGTGTTACTGGGGCGATGTCCTACGAAGCTTTTCTTATCATGGCTGGAATATCTTCGGTTGGACTTTCGGCTCTCACGCTCATCATGATGTTTTTCTAAGTATGTTGTATGACTGCCATCGGAAGGGATATCATTGCGTTTCCTCGATTGAGCTCTGTCTCTGCCTCGTCGTGTTACAGAGGATGCGTTATCTGGGCTGTTTGCACGATTATGTGAACTGGGGTAACAGTAGTCTCCTCGTCTGCGTGAGCTCTCTTCAATCTCAGGCTCGATCTCCTCTCGAGTCTTTGAATGGTCACGATAATATCTATTGCTTCTGGAGCGATGCTCTCTAGAATCATAATCATCCGTATCAGAGTCAGAGTCGGTACGGCGGTGATGACTTTTTCTAGATCTTCTGTCGCGATGACGATCTTTATAATAGTCAGTATAGGATTCCTCATCACTATCCGATTTAACTCTGTGATGGCGTGAACGAGACCGATGACTGCGATGTGCCTTAGTTGAATGTCGCCGTCGCTTAGTCTTCTCATTTGTATCAGGATACACTAAAGACATGACAAATGCGTTATCCGTCAATAATAGTAACAACAGTAATAATGAGGACTTCTTCGAAATATATAAAATTATATATATCCCTTACCTTCATCCTTCATGCTGCTAGATCTCTTATAATCTGAATAACGTTCTCGACCACTTGAAGTTCGCGCTCGGCTTCGTGAGTCTTCAAAATAATACCTCTCCCTTGAAGATTGTACTGAATACAAAGACATGTATGAAATTGAGCTTGCAAATACCTTTGTGAATGAATTAAAGTTTTATATGTAGATTGCCCTACATACCTGTATCATCATCATCACTATAAGACTGAAAAGAATCTTCATGATACGAGGCGCGCCTTCTAGAACGTCCGTGCCTATGCTCCTGCATACTACCAAACCCATTCGCATCTAGAGAAAGAAAGAGACAAAGCTTGAATGATTGTCTTTCGAATCGAAAAAAAAATAAAAAAATAAAAAAATAAAATAAAAAATAATAAAATAAAAATAAAAATAAAATAAAAAAAATAAAATAAAAAAAATAAAAAAAATAAAAAAAAAAATAAAAATAAAAATAAAAATAAAAATAAAAATAAAAATAAAAATAAAAAAGTTTGCGCATACCAGGGCTTATCGTGTAATTCGAAAGCCATTGATCGACTCGGTCCTCTCTCAAGTTAGAGTCGGGTTCAATCGATTTATCGCGATGGTGTAATGACATACGTGAATGTGATCGATAGGATGACGGCACAGCACGGCTACGCGATCGACCTTGAGGCCGTCCACGGGAATAATGTGCGCTTCGATGTGTTTTATTCTCTCGTCGAGTTCTGGACCTTCCTCGGGATTGCTCGTGATATGCTTCTTTAGATGCCAGGTGTTTGTTCTTTCGCGTAAAGTCTGGAAAGCTAATTTGTGAGATGCGTGGTATCGTATTCGGCGGTGGTGTGTAATCAAGACCGTCCACCACTAGTGTGCCTTGAGTTGATGCGGAGTCTTCTGCTGGCCGCGAACCTTCAATGATTACAACATCAGGGGAGATGCCATCCATAGAATTACTTGTGCTCTTTGGTCTCTTCATTGGTTTGATCGATGAAAACTCATGTCGCCAAGATGTATCGTCGAGCATACTGCTGATCTTTTCATCATACGTGTTTGTTACAGTCCATATTATACACTCCTCATTAGCGAAGGTGTCGGTATCCCTTTGTGCTGTAATGACACTGCTCTCCGCTATAGGAATTGGGTTACTTGGTATTGTCAGATTAAAAGTATCAAAAGGTGTCTCCTGATTGTAATCAAGTTGGGGGATCGCATCTTCATTCGTTCCTTTTTCCATATCGCTGATATCAGCAAACTGGTTTCTCTCCATGGACACCACTGCTAGATTCTGATTGACGCCTTGCTGCCTTCTCGGTTGTGGGAAATCTTTTTCATTCTCACCCACTTTAGGGACATTAACTCTATTCAAAGGAGCCTGCCCCACTTCCAAGACTAGTTCCTCCACTGTTTCTTCGTCTGATGAACTTAGACAAATAGCCTTGCGCTTTACTATCTGTGACTCTGCCTCCTTGGATGGTTTTTGAAAGTTAATTCCAGCACTGCTGATCATGGCCCCTGAATCTGCACCTTGTTGATCGATCTCGGTTTTCTTAGTTTTCCCTGAAGAAGACACATTAGTCGAAATACTTTCAAGCCAGCCATTTTCTAAATCCTCGGTGTATTGAGCCAAGGATGAGCAACTGACCCCTGCTGCACTGAGCCTCCTCTTCTTGCGCCCTGCAGATGTCTGTGTTATCTGTTCATCGTCACTGGATAAAGTAACCACCTCCTCAGCCATGGAAGGGGTGTGAGAAGCACGTCGTGTGTCTTTCCTCGAACCTGGAGAAGGACGAGTTGTCTTTGTACGCCTTTTTGATTGATTTTTGTATAATTCTGCTTGTCCAGTTGTGTGTTGGTGGTGTTGGTGATGTTCAGTTTGGTGGCGAGTTCGGTCCCTCTGTAATGCTAAGGAAAACTCCTCCAGCTTATAGTATTCATCGAGCGCTGGCATATGGAGGCTCTGTGCCTGCGTATTCGCAAGAGCATACTGGATACCTTCAAGATTTAGGCGGCAATGAAACCAATAACGAACAACTTCAAACTGAAGGCCCGCCTTGTCGGCTATATGTTGAAGGGTACTGAAATCAGGTAATCCATTGAAAACGACCCAGGCGTAAATCAGTGCCTCCGACTTCTCAGGCGTAATGGCAAGAGATGCAGGCAAAGAGAGAGTGACCATTATGATGGTTTCTTTATTCTTTTCCTTTTTTCAAAGTAAAATTGATGTTGGCTGTCGCGAGATGATTTTGGAGACGCGAATCAGTTTGTTTGTACATACAAAAATAATTTATATTGTTTGTAATTAAATATGCACTGCTGGAGCCACGTGCCCCAGCATGGCCATGAATATGGTGCAATGCATTATTAAAAAAACAAAAAAAAAAAAAACTTTCTGTGAGAAAAAGTAAAAAAGCACTCAAATGTCAGTCTACAATATCCAGACGCCGATAGAATGAGGGAGGCCTGGTGTACTTAATTATTTCGTAGCTTTAGTTCTAATCTCAAACACCTCTATCTTTAAATGCCTATCTTGGAGCGCGTGCTTCACATGCGGCATGGTGCCTGTATGATCATGCACCATGTCGCGCTTAGTTCCCTGTGCCAGATAGCAGGTAAGGCACGCTTCTAGAAGAAGAAAGTGTTGTTTCAACGCCAAGATTGATTATGAAGCGGCGAACATGCAGCAAAGATTTTAAAATTTTTTATTCTCAAGCGATGAAGATGCACAAAACTTTTTAATAATAATATATGGGGTTTAATCACAGTATAAATATGGCACGTCTTTTCAGAAATGGGCATTGCTCTTTCGTGTAAAGCCCGGATACTTAATTTATGAGAATATTCTATGATGATGTACTGTACATCCAAGGTCATCCACCGTTATCCCTCGAGGCGATGATGATGCACTATCAAGCATAGTGCTGATGTTTTCACCAAAAAGTACTAGAAGCATTCCACTCTCCTCAAGAGGATAAAGTCTTGAATTAATCTTCCTATTAGTGAAGACGTCGGTGTCTCTGTACACTGTACCGACGCTGCTCTCCGGTGCAGGAAAAAGATTACTTAAATTGCTGACTCAAAAGCATTTGAGGGCATCTCCCGATTTTTATCGACCTGAGGGATTGTACTTTTTTTTTTTTTTTTTGAACTCTTTTCCATGTCATTAATGTCAATAACCTGATTTCACTTCATACTTCCCTTCATCCGTACCACTCTTAATCTCTAATGGTCTTCTGAATTGCGCATACCCTGTATCATCTGGAGATACTAACTGTATTCAAGAGGATCTTCTCCGCTTCCAAGATGACATCCTCAATTATTTCTTCTTCATCCGATGAAACCAGGCAAATACCCTTACGTTTTGTTGTCTACGATCTTGTTCCATTGCATGCTCTTTGATTAAAACCCAAAGCACTATTCATCATGCTCCCTGAATCTGATCCTCGTGAAGAGAATGCTTTAGTTGAGATATGCTTTGACAAGCCATTTTCTAGGATCCCAATCTGACAAGGAACTAGTCCCCGCTACACTAAGTTCCTCTTTCTACGTCCCACGGATGTCTGTGTCATCTCCTCATCGTCATGAAACAAATTAACCACCTCTGCAGTGATGGAGGGTGGGTGCTCAGCACATCGTGTGCCTCTCCTTGAACCAGGGGACGAATGAGTTGATTCCATCCGTCCAGTTGTGTGCTGTTGGTGCTGTTACTTCTGGTGTTCAACTTTTCGGCGAGCTCGTTTCCTCTGTAATGCAGACGAGAACGCTTTCAACTTGTAGCATTGGTCTATCTCAGCTATGTGAAGACTCCCTGCCTGAGTCTTGGCAAGAGCATGTTGGATGTCTTTGATGTTCAGGCGACAGCAGAACCGATAGCGAACGACTTTGTACTATTGGCCTACTGTATCGGCGACAGGTTGTAATGTTGAAATCAGACAAACACCTGAAGACAAATCACGCCTTTGACTGCTCGCGTGCGATGGCAAGGACTGCGGGCAAGAACAGGGCTACCATTTTTTTTTTTCGGTAGAGGTGATGATGTTGACGAGAGATGATTGAGATGATCCTGGAGATAAAATTTATTTCATTAAGGACATTGTTGGTGGATATCATAGCACATGACACTTTGGCGCAGCCAGTTTGAAATTTCCCTCGCCACCATTGCGTAACATTGACATGGGGGGACAGGGAAACTTTTTGCAGAGGCATTGCCCTTTGGGTTGTGATAATTGATTGTGGAATAACACACAGATCCCTCCTCCTTGTGATCTGCTGTATGCCACGTGCATAAGCAATGTTCTTTTCCTTTGAAGCACCCAGATCTGTCTTGCGACCCAATAGGAACGTCAATGCTAAAGAAATAGCCTGGGTATCCTTGAATTTGAATGGTCCACCAACTACAGCTTTCAGAACATTTGTATACATTAAAAAAAAAAAAAAAAAAAAAAAAAAAAAAAAAACTAACAGATACCTGTAAGCAAGGTTCTCACACTTTGACAATAAGTAAAGGAGCTCCTTTTAATTTTACTCCGCATACTTTGCACAAAAATACCACCCTCCCCTTTCCCTAGCGGCGCCAAAAGCCTTCAGGAACATCCAATGTTATATTCAATGGAACAAGGTCATATCCTCCTTTTCCTTCATGTTCTTGTCACAACTATTATATGTAGCTCTATGTTGACTGAACCATGAGTATGAGCATAGGCGTACCAACCTGTTTCTTTTTATTATTATTCCCTCCTTTTCCAACCCTACGCTCGTACATTCAAGGGGGTATGGCTTTTTTTATTTCTTGTTTCTCTTCAATGAGACAATAGTACAAAAAAAAAAAAAAAAAAAAAAATAGAATGAATAATCGAATCTTAACTGCGTCTGTGTCTGCAGTGTTGTGGTCGCTTCTTATCTTCTTATGCAGTTGCCTTCCCCTACCTCACCTCCTCTCATTTTATCCTGTGTGACTTTAGGTCGCAGGGTTGAATGGGGATCATGTAAAAAAAAAAAAAAAAAAAAAAATATGAGCATTATCATGCAAAAGAAAACTAGCAATTTTATTTTTTCTCCAATTGGTTTTCTCTCTTTCTCTTTTTCTTTTTTTCCCCTTTTTTCTTTTTCTTCATCTTTTTCAATCTGTTCTACGCCTCTTTACATTTTTTTTTTTTTTTTCTCTTTGACTTTCCTTCCTCTCTATTCTTCATTCCTCTGTAGAATAAGAAAAAATATAAATATTTAAAAAAAAATAAAAAAAAAAAAAAACTGCGCCTACAAGGACAATAAATATCGTCGCAGAATCATCCTTCGCGTAAAAAAAAAAAAAAAAAAACGACCATTCACCATGCTCAGGAACGCTGCTAACGGATACTTCCCCGAGTACCAGCCAGTGACACCTCCAGGAGAGTCGCCAAACGCAAAGACCTCGCCTCTCGTTCCTATCAAGGATTCTCCCATCATGAACAACAACAACCATCACAGCAATAATAACAATAACACGAATGCTAACAACATCAATAACAACAACAACAGTCCTCATGCGCCTGTAAAGGTCACTCCCACGTTCTCACTCGAAGCGACGACCGTCAGAGGATCACCACCAAACAACAATAACAACATTCTCCATTACACACATAACAGCAATACGAGTGACAGTACCGAAACTGGCAGAGGATCACCAATGGAAGGCGTCCAGCGGGCATCAATCGAAGAAAATATCCGACGCTCCCCTCCAGAGGTCAACAGGGCTTCTCCTTTTGAAAATGCAAATGCAAGGCGTTCTGCTCCCGACATGATTAGGGCCACCCCATTTGACCTTATCGGAAACACTCCAATGGAAGCCCATCCAAGGTCACCCTTTGATGACTTGATCAAAAATACTAATAATAACATGAACAACATGAACAACATGAACAATATAAACAACAACAACAACATCATCAACCATAACAAGGCTTCACCATATGATCTTGGTCGAGGGTCACCCTTTGAAATACCAAAAGTGCCGTTTGATCCCATGAGGGGCTCATCTGGAGAGAGTAGCAGCAATAATAGTGTTCTCGCCCTTAACCAAGTTATTAACAATGCCCATGTTAGCAACAATCCATTCAATCAATATATTCAACAGAGCAATACTAATCATAATGTCAATAACATCAATAATATCAATAACAACAACAACAACAATAACAATAACAAGAATAACATCAGTAACAATCCTTTTGAAGTACCAAGGATATCGCCCATGGAGACAAATGGACCTTTACCAGCAGCACAAGTCGTGCCCAAAGCGCCGGTCAACATTCCTGCAATGCAGACGCAACAGCATATTCCTACTCCTGCACCTAACGAAGCACAACAGATTCAACATTTGCAGCAGCAACTTCAACAACTGCAGTATCAGCAACAGCAGCTGCAGCGCCAACAGCCCCAGCAACAACGTGAACAGCCCCAGCAACAGCAGCAGCAGCAGCAGCAGCAGCAGTATCATCAACAGCAGCCCCAGCTTCAGCTTCAGCATCAACAACAGCAGCCCCAGCCTCAGCATCAACAGCAGCAGTATCAACAACAGCAGTTGCACCAGCAGCAACAGTATCAGCAGCTCCAACAACAGCAAAAGCAAAATCAGCAACAGCAACAGCAGCAGCAGCAGCCCCAGCAACCCCAGCACCAGCACCAGCACCAGCACCAACCCCAGCAGCAATATCAGCAACAACATCACCAACAACCTCAGCAACAACCTCAGCCACAACAGCTCCATCAACAACAATATCAAAACCATCAGCAACAACAACAGAAACCTCATGAATACCAACAGCAGCAACAGCAACAGCAGCAGCAGCAGTACCAGCAGCAGTACCAGCAGCAGCCAATGGAACAGCATCCGCAACAAAGATTGTCACCGCAACACCAGCAGCAACACCAGCAGCAACACCAGCAGCAACAGCAAGCCTTCCTACAGCTCCATCAACAGAACCATCAATTAGCGCATCAGATGCAGGTGCAGGTGCAGCAGCAACATCAGCAACATCAGCAGCAACACCAACCACAAAAGGCGCAAATTGAGCAAGTAAGGGGTGGCTCGCCAGGACAGATTGCCAAGGGTTTCCAGACAATCGAACGCCATGTGGATGAGAGACTAGAGAATGAGACGGAAGAAACACTTGCCGCGCGGATCAAGGCTGACATTGTTGTGATGTGTCAGGAACGAGGTTAGTCCATCTTTTTTTTTTTTTTTTTTTTCTTAGTGTAACATCCATTGCCCTCACTCTTTTTCTTTTTAATGCTTTTGCCTTCCCTTGAATCGTTTTCAACACTTTTCTTTCTTGAAAACTACCGTACATGTACATCAAAGCCCTTTTTTTTTTTTTTTTTTTTTTTTACCCCAACTTTTTATTTTTTGGCTTATTCTATTATTCATGTATCAGTTTTTTTTTTTTTCAATGGGCTATAATTATTTTATTTTATTTGCTCTGCGCTAAGGGTAATTTTTTTTACTGAATATCAAATCAGCCAGGTGTAGAATTCCATCATTCCTTTCCCGCTCTGTCTGGTTTATTTTGCCTCTTGCTCTTTCTCTCTTTCTCTCTCTCTCTCTCCATCTATTTATTTTTATGGCGGTTGTTTAAAAAAAAAAAAAAAAAAAAAAAGACTAAGCCCTAGAGCAGAAAGAAATGTCGTTTGAGTTATCATTCGAGCACTGAGTGGATAGAAATCAATACAAAAATAAGAAATAAGGGGAGAGAGATAGGGACATGCGTCCGTGTCCTTGTTTCTGTTTCGTTTCGTGTGCGTGTGTGGCACAAGAAAAGGAAAGAAAAAAGAAAGAAACGATGTCATTTTTGTTATTGGGTAGGGATAACACTCCTCAAAGCTCATTCCAATTGCTGCCTATACATGCGGAAAGGAGAATGAAGAGTGAAAGAGTGGAATAGTGGAGAATGCCAATCCACGAACAACAACGTTTTTTTTTTTATCCATTGATCTCTTTAAGTTCATTCTTAAAAGGCTGAAATTTAAAAACAGAGATATATGCTTGATATGCTTGCTAGACTAAAGGCTAAACGAACTAACCCCAATTATTCCCCATCCATTCACTCTCTCTCCCTTACTCACAAATCTTCATTAACTTGTTGCTCTTTGGCCTCTTGCTTTTTATGTCTAAATCCATCTGTGGATGCAATTCCAGGCATCCCAACGGAAGGCGATAAGAAAACTTTAATTAAAGCCCTGTTGGATTGGGTAAGTTTATCCTTTTGATTCGTTATATACCATTAGTACCATTGGGCATCTGTAATCTGTTATTTATTTTACAGCCTAGATCTCTTCTAACGTTCTTCAACCCTTGAATTACAATTGCTCTTTTCTTTTTTTAAAAAAAAAAAAAATGACGTCGATGGACTCTCCTTTTTTTTTTTTTTTTTTTTTTTTTTCCTTTCGCGAAATAGCAAAAAGCAAAGCCTGTTCCAGGACCTTCGACGCCAAAATTATGCTCAATTGAACCAGTCGTAGTGGCAAAGCAGGCGCCTATCAACACAGTCTACCTCAACTCGTTGCTTCTGGGCGAACACTTTCAGGGTGAGATCGCGTATGAGCAGCTCACTATCGGACGTAAGCTTGGATCTGGAGGGTTCAAGGACTGTTATGCAGGAACATATATGGGAGTAAGTATTATCCACACCAAGGCGGGAGATTGGATTCTTTGCAGCGGAAGGAAAAAGAAACCCCAAAATCCTTAATCATGTTCTTTTGATTTTTAATATTTGATTGTTTGGTTTAATAGGAAGCAGTGGCTATCGGAGAATTGCGTATTCAAAACTTTACAGAAATGGATATTACAGAGATGAAGCATGAGATCAACGTCTTGAAGTAAGTCGTCTCTACACCACCTTGGTTTGTTTCTAAATGTTGTATAACATGTAGACTTTAACATCTTTTTCTTTTTTCTTTTTTTTCTTTTCGCGTCACTAGGCAATTGCGCCATGAAAACATTATCCGCTTCATTGGAGTTTGCACCAATATCAAACATCTCTGCATTGTTACAGGTAATCTATTGATCCTCTATGAATGTTTTATGGAAACATAAAAATGAAAGGCGGGCTAACTTCTTCTTCTTTTTCTTCTTCTTTCTTCTTCCTTCTTTTCTCGCAATTGTTAATAGAATTGTGTGAAAACGGTGATCTGTATGATTTCATGCGTAAAACCAAGAAACCGACCTTTGGACGTCTTGTATGTACCACTTTTATTATTATTATTATTATTATTATTATTATTATTATTATTATTATTATTATTATTATTATTATTATTATTATTATTATTATTATTATTATTATTATTATTATTATTATTATTATTATTACTCTCTTGAACGAAAAAAAAAAAAAAAAAAAAAAAAAAAAAAAAAGCAGCACTGTCTTCAACTTACTAACAGAGTGGGTATTTTATTATTGTTAATTTATCATTAGATCATGTATATGCATGACATTGCACTCGCTTGCTCATACCTTCATTCCCGCCGACCTAGCATTATCCACAGGGTAAAAAAAGAAAGAAAGAAAGAAAGAAAGAAAATGTTTTAACAACTTGAACTGAAGAAAAAAAAAAAACGCATTTGTTAAATCACTTTTATTATTATTATTGCTGTTGTTCAAATCAAACTGACTACTGTAGGACTTGAAATCCATGAATATTCTGGTAAGGAAAATAAGGACGAGTCTTTTATATATACATATATGTTGGATCTGATGTTTCCTAACGTTTCTTTTTATTCCGGTTTTTTTTTTTAATTTTTTCTGATAGATTTCGTCTGACGATCGAGCCAAAATCAATGACTTTGGTTTGGCGCGTATCCGCCCAAAAGCAAATGCGTCTTTGCATACACAGTGCGGTACCCCTAATTGGCAAGGTAGAGACTTATACTTTTTTTTTTTTTTTTTTTTTTTTTTTTTTAAAAAAAACGAGCTCTTTTTTTTTTATTTCTCCTAGTTCATATAGTGACATGTTTGCTAATACCTGTTTACGGTATCGATTGAAAAAAAAAAAAAAAAAAAAAAAAAAAATAGCACCCGAGTTTTGGACACCGAATCCGAGCTACACTGAAAAGGTGGATGTGTATGCATGCGGACTGATTTATTGGGAGATTCTGTCATGGGCCGAGCTTGGATATCCATACCATAACCTGACAGAACATCAACTCTATGAGGCTGTGCGCGACAAGGAGGTCCGTCCTCCGTTGGAAAAGTTGAAGAAGTACCCACCAAGTCTCATTGCATTGATTCAGGAAATGTGGCGCAAGGACCCCAAGAAGGTATTTGAAAAAAGGCCTTGACCTGGAAATATGTTTTTTTTTTTTTTTTTTTTTTTTTTTTACAGGGCATTTGAAATGGTTTTATTAACTCGACTATCAAATGTCAAATGTATTTTAGCGTCCATCGATGTCTCATGTTGTTGACCGGTTGGCAGAGTACTTGGAGTAAAAAAAAGAAAAAGACATGACCATGAACCCTGTAGAGCTCCATCCGTAATAAATATTCTTTTTGTACTATTTAGTTAAAAGCATCTTACATATTTTGTACAATGGAAGCGGATTGATTTCACCATTTGATGCACAATGACTAAAGAACAGCTCAAGTTGTACAAAAGATGCGCATGGTCTATTTATCTTTATTTTTTTTTTTTTTTTTACCCACGATCCCGTTAAATATATATTTTACACATAAACATTTTGTTCTTTTTTTCTTCTCTCATTGTTCACATTCTTTTGTTGCATTTCCCCCATTTGTTCAAGCAATGACTCCCAACATCAAGCCTTCGAGTGCCTCTAATAAAGTGGACTTTTACAAAGATCTGGAATCGATGATTCAGAGTCTTGTCGATGGTCAACGCAATTGGGTATGTTCAAATATATATATATATGCGTAATAAATAAGGCACACGTGCAACATGCAGCGAATATGTAATCATAAACTGCATTCATACAATCGAGGCTTAAAACTAAATCTGCAAGGAAGAAAGAGAGATAGACTATTGACCATTGACCGCACCACATAAATCTCTTTCTTTTTTTTTGTTTTCCCGGCCTAGGTGACGAATTTGGCAAACACATCAGCAGTGATCTATCATGGACTACGTGAAGTAACAGGGAAACCCATCAACTGGGTTGGATTCTATGTGCTGGACCAGGATGAAGCATCCAAGGGGAAAGATGCATTGATCTTGGGGCCCTTTCAAGGAAAGATTGCCTGTACCAACATTGCGTTTGGTCGTGGTGTCTGTGGTACAGCCGCAGCAGAGAACCGGACATTATTAGTCAAGGATGTACATCAATTCCCTGGACATATCGCCTGCGATGCAGCTTCTCAATCTGAAATCGTAGTCCCATTGGAATTGGATGGTGTAAGTTTTTCTTTTTAGATTCTATTTCACTCTTTTGTCGCAGGATGAACAAACTTGATGATACTGACAAGGAGATATAAAAAAAAAAAAATCAATTATAGAGAGTTATAGGTGTCCTTGACTTGGATTGTGAAGAGACCGAGGGCTTTGATGAAGTGGATCAGGCCGGATTAGAGACTGTGGCCAAGATCTTAATCAAGGCATGCGACTGGCGTGGCGTGGTTGGGGCATAGAGATTTTTTTTTTTTTTTTTTTTTTTTTTTACAATCTATACAAGTGAATCTAATTAAAAAAAAAAAAAAAAAAAAAAAAAAAGAAACGTTTCTTGGTCATTGATGAGGATTGTTATTTAGCATGTGAGTCTTTTTATATTTATCTTTGTATATATTAGCTTGCTTGGTTGGTTGCTTGCTTGGCAGAGAAGAGTAATTGAGTGCATCCGTTGGAACACATGGAAGCATGGAATAAATGCCACGCGAGTTTGGGTTTTTTGCTCACTTACAGATAATGACGCGTTTGTGCGGGCAAAAAAAAAAAAAAAAAAAAAAAAAATTGGGATAACTCATCTTTTTCGGCTCGGCATTCTTTGAGTTTTCCAACACGAGGTTGGGAACTGAACAAAGCAATTAAATAGATAGGATTCATTCTTCTTCTTCTTCTCATTCATTCATTCATTCATTCATTCATTCATTCATTCGTTCACTCATTAATCCCCATTCTAACCCTTCATTCTTCATTCATTATTTATTCATTCATTCATTGATACAACCATCCAGCAGCTTTTTTACTTTTTTTAAAATTCTTAGTATCGTTCACCATACAAAAGAGAATAAAACTAAAATAAAATGTCTTCAGTATCAGAACCTGGATCTACCCTGAATCTGGCTCCTACGCCTGATGGTTCAAGTAGTAAGTTGATCATTACAATGCCCCCACCACAATAGGGCCTTTTTTATTTTCTGGATTCATTGACAGCCAGTGGAAGAGGACGGAGATGCCACCTTTTGTGCTTTTTTTTTATATATACCATTAGCTATCTTTTTCTTCTTTCTTAAAGACACACTTTCTGCAATGTACCTCGGAGAATGTTGATCGTACAAAGAATCTTAATATGTACTAATTCTAAATTCTTAATTCGATAAAACAATCTGTAGACAATACCATTATTGAAACCATGCTCGATCTTGAAGAGATCGACAAGGATCTGTACCGATCCAAGAAACTATGGCTGCCCCTGGGTGCACGAGGTGTCTTTGGTAACCTTTTTTTTTCTTTTCTTTTCTTTTCTTTTCTTTTCCTACCTACTTTTTCTGCTTTGTGTTCTTTTTTTTTTTTTTTTTTTATAACATTTCTTTTCCTTTCTTTTCTTTTTATTCCTCACTCGGATTTAGGTGGCAATGTTGTAGGACAAGCCCTTGTAGCTGCCACAAACACAGTATCGGATCTCTATTCTGTCCATGTAAGGAGGAATAAACGCTTTTTAAAAGAAAAAAAAAAAAAAAAAAAAAAAAAGAAATGCGGGCACATTCATTCTTTCTTTTTTCTCGGAATACTCCGCACATCTTCAACCTTGATCGAGTCATGATCGACGGACTTGATCATCATTGGGGAAACAAGTCAATTCCTCATTTAAGAAAAAAAAAAAAAAAAAAAAAAAAAAAAAACTCACCTTGTAAGGTTTTTTTTTTTTTTTCTTTCTTTTGATAGTCCCTGCATTCATATTTCCTCCTGCCTGGCGACCCCACAATCCCGATCTTGTATCACGTAGATCGTCTTCGGGATGGTAAAGTATAAAAATTTCATTCAATTTTTTTAGATTCAAATTGTCTGGGATTAATTATTATTTTTATTATTAATTTGCCATTATCGTTATTATTAATTATTATTATTATTATTAATTTGGTAACTTATTTTTTTAAATTTTAGGTCATTCCTATTGTACGCGAACAGTGACAGCAACACAGCGAGGGAAAAACATTTTCGTTTGCACAGCCAGTTTCCAGGTCCCACGGCCTAATGCACCAAGTCATCAATATCCTATGCCGAATGTTCCTCATCACAGCACCCTCCCAAGTCAAGAAGACTTGATCCGTGCTATGATCGATAGCCCAAAAATCCCTGAAAATCTCGTGGAGTTTCTCAAGCAAAGACTGGACGAGGTAAAAGCAAAAAAAAAAAAAAAAAAGAAAAAAGAAAAAAGAAAGCAAAGAAACTTGGCAAAAGACAAAAAGCTATTGTTATTCAACTACCTTATTTTTATTTGGTATACAATAATAGCCAGTAGCCTTGGACTTTAAGGATACAAGGCGTCATACGCTCAAGGACCTAATGAATCCACCTGTTAGAACAGAACAAACTTTTTGGATCAAATGCAAAGGTGGATTGGGAGACGCCCTTGCGTTGCATCAGTGTGTGGTCGCTTATGGATCGGATCATAATCTGTTAAACACTGTGCCATTGGCTCATGGAAGTACATGGTTATCGAGACGTAGTTCAAGCCCAAGCATCGTCATGATGGCCTCATTGGACCATTCCATGTGGTTCCATTGCCCATTCCGTGCAGATGAATGGATGCTCTATGTCTGTGAGACGTAAGTTCTTTATCAAAGAGTTTTAAAGGGGACAAGACTAGATTTATATGATCATTCTGTTTCTAACATCTCCTTTTTGTTGCTATTCCTGTTTTTGGACGCTTAACGTCACATAGGCCACGTTCAGGATGTGATCGTGGACTGACATTTGGCAGGATATACAAGGAAGATGGCACCTTGGCTGTATCGGTCGCGCAAGAAGGCGTTGTAAGGTTGCGATCAAAAGCACCCTCTTCAGCCACGGTTGATCAACCCAAATTGTAGACTCTGATAGATCCTTGTTATACAATAATAATACAATTAGAAAAAGAAAAAGAAAAAGAAAAAATATGGTCAAGCCCTCGCACTTTCCTTCTTCCGCAAGTATTGATAAATGAAAGTATGGAAGCGACATTAAAACAAAATGCAAGTGAAGTGAAACAGCAAACACGTGAAAACCCCTTTTCCAACTTTCGTGGTGCATCTTCGTTAATAAGCAGTTGAGAATTGCTACTCGAATTAAACGGACAGGACTGAGAGATTACAAGGCACAAACAACACAGCAGTATTCAAAAACTGACCTAGTGTTCACATGTGAAAGATTTAATCAAGAAAGTATGGCTTTGAAGAGAAACGAAAACTATGAAGCCTTTTTTTTTTAAAAAAAAAAAAAAAAAAAAAAAAAATCCGCCCATAAAAGACACATCATCATTTTAGCTACTGCCTTGCTCCCCCCAAAACGCGTGCCCGTTGCTCCAACGACATGTACACATCAGGCTTATTCGGACGCTTCCTATAATAGGTTGAGTGGTTGATTTCACATACTCCTTCACCTCCGTCTCCATCGGTCGGTTGAGAGGGGCTCTTGTGGGAATCGCAAAACATTTTATTGCACAACATGCAATGTCGGACTGGTTCTTGATAGTGTTTCGCTACCCCTTTTCGCATTGCCATCTTTGAACAAATATGGCAATTGACGCCAGATGGAGCTGGTCCGAATATTGATCGATGTACAAGCATTTATCGCAACAAAGGTAAAGGTAAAGGTAAAGGTAAAGGTAAAGGTAAAGGTAAAGGTAAAGGCAATGATGATCATTATTAGACTGGGGCAATATATCCATAAAAGTTACAAACAACATTAATCCAACCTGATTGTAAATTACCTGATGGAGTTTCGGTATTTGAATTCATGGAATAGTAATGCGATGTGTGCTTGCTTTCTGCAAAAAAAAAAAAAAAAAAAATGAAAAGAAACAGTGGGAAAATGAAAATAAAGGCCATCACTTCATCACATGAACTACTATTAATGCGCATCGATCACGTTTGGTTTTTCCCTCAAATCAACACTCGCCTCACCCATTCGGTGGTTTTCTTTTTTTCTTTTTTATTTTTTTCCTTGGCTTTGGTGTGTGGTATTGCCAGCGAACAGTGTCGTGTGAACTTGACTGATGTGATGTACTGATGATGTTACCAGTAATGGTTGTTGCTACGCTGAACCGAGTCTTATTTTGCCATTTCGTCCATTAGCAGCGTGCTTTGAAGGCCCTGGAGAGGCCCAGACATTGAACTCGAGTCAAACTATATTGACGTTGAGAAGAGTGAGGACGAGGATGGGAACGACAGCTCGTTGGTACTGTATTATATATTTATTATTAATTACATTAACTACAGGATACAGTTTTTTTTTTATCGATGTGGGATCATATCGTCGGAACACTCCTGGATAGAGTGCTCATCCTCATTAAGATCTATATCACTGTTATCACTTTCTCTTTGACTGGGGCCTTGACTCTATATCTTCCAGACTCTCAGCACCTTCCAGGGAGCCATAATGTTGCCCATATGCCCCCAGGAGCCATATGAACTGTTGTTTGCACCGTTGGCCCCATAGCCCTGACCATAGTATTTCTGATCATTGTCTACGTCCTTGAAACAACCGACGATTTCTGGTATTGTATCCACCATATTTGCCCGAGGTTAGATACAACCATTAGAGCAATCAATCAGTCAAACGCTACAGTGGTGGGGTAAATCAGTGGAAGCCATCAGGGCTAGCGCTTTCGTCTGGCGTGGGATCACAGAGTTTGTCCCATCCTCCTCCTACAGCCCTACTAATATGTATGAATTACAGTAACTCGGGTTTAGAAGGCTCGAAACCTCATTCATCATGGATAAATCTGGTTAAAAAAAAACTTTGACAACAAAGTCTAATCTTCTGCTGCCAGGACATAGGCTACATAACATACCTTACATGGCCGTGTAAGACGTGCAAGTCGCTCCAACGTAGAGTGAAGGAGGAGCGAATGTGGTGAGCGGCATGATTGTTGAATAGTTGAATAGTCGAATAGTCGAATAAAAGAAAAAGAAAAAAAGAACGGTGTTTGAGTAAAAGTTTGGACTATAAAACAAACTCCAGGAAGATGACTCAGGAAAAGTGGAAAAGTAATGATGCGAAAGAGTGATTTTGATGATTGCCATCACTGCCCAAAGAGGTTCCACGCTTTGATTCCTGGATCTCGTCTGACCTCTACCGCATATGCTTACAACTTTAGAAGTCTTATCATCTACTTTCTAACTCTTTACAAGTAATTGTGGTTAGGCGAACTTCTATGAGCCGTGTTTAAAACATTACAACGCTTGATACCAAAACGTAGTTGAGTCTATATGTTTTCGTACAATTTTGGGCAGGAGTTTATAAGTTGCGAATGTTGGAAAGTATGAAGTGTAGTCTAAACATATATAATTGTACATTTATACTATGGTCCTCGGGAAAGTACTCTCTATTTCCAAGTATTGAGTGCTGTATCTCTTCGTAGCCCATACGAGTCTATTGTAGTAGCTTCCTCTATTACTCAACGATTGCAATTTTAGGCCTATTTTCCTGTAGCCAAGACAGGACAAGCTTATCCTCATCCCAATCTTCATCCCAATAAAGTCCCTCAATGCGAGCCAGTCTAGGCCAGTGCTGACACATCCATTGGATCTCATCCAGCCCTACTGCATGATGGACACCAGCCAAAATTAACGATTGAAGCTGCTTCAATGGACTCAGTATTGCCAGACCTGAAGACATCGAAAACGTAATATTGAATAGCTCCGAATCATCAGTATCTTCTTCTTTTCCTTCCTTGCTACTTTCAGTCGAGTTCAGATTGTCCACCGCAAGCAGAGACATGTCTTTCTGGATCCTCTGTAGCATGTGCTCGCTACCCTTCGCCTCTTCTGGAGTGTCAGCATCATCATCATCCTCATCATCCTCATCATTGTTGCCGTAGTCGTCGAAATAGGTCGTCCTGATACTCAAGTTCCGCAACTTGGTCAACCTTGAAAGCTGTTCAAGTAAGTATCGGCGTGCACTCGCAGGAGGGATCATTCTTTGTTCTTGATTCGTCAGCGACGGTCGATCATAGCAGAAGTTCAGTGTCAAAGACTCCAATCCATGACAAGCCCAAAGTCCAGGAATAGCAACCCCTGAAGAAGTAGATGTAGAAGGTAGAGCAGGATGACCCTCCTCCGTCATCGGTTGTGATCTATATGCCTCCATGATCATCTTGGGCACATTAACGGATGTGTCCCAAGCATTCAATGACTTCAAGGCCTGGCATTTCTTCAGCAATCTCTGGACACTCTCAGATTCAAGACCATAGGTCTCTCTAATATCCAACTCTTCCAAATTAGGACAGCACTCAACCAAGGCGTTTAAACTCATATCGCTGAACCTTGTTTGACCAGCAATTAGAGTTTGAAGCTCTGGCAAGCTCCTCATCAAAGCCGCCATGGTTGAATCCTCCATGTCCTCTGTCTTGGAGATATCCAGCCATTTGATATGAGGGCTTCGCTGTGCTAGCCGGGATGGAAAGTCTTCGCTAAAGTACAACTCCGAGGTCATTTGAAGGGAAAGCCGTTCAAGGTTCGGAAAACGGCTGGTGAGGTTCAGAATAAGGTTCTGCGAGCATGCGACATCATCCATATGGAGGCTCTTGATTCCCGAGAAAGCCTTCTTCTCCTGGACGGCCACATCATGCGACAGAGAGGCAGGTGCGGTCTGTTCCTCAGTGTGGGAGATGGCCAACCATTTAGATGCAAAGGCGTCACCGGAACCGAAGGGGTGTTTGAGGAAAAAATAGACGCCTTTAAAGGATAGCTCTTCCAATGAGGCACAGCCTTGCAATATAGTCTCGAGTGTCTCCACCTGTAAAGTCTGGTTTTTATCAAAGGCTAATCTTCGTAGCATACCGAGCTCACTGACAGCATGAGTAAGGTCACTGTAGTCATTCGAGGGGTCATCATGGAATGCCAAGGATAGGTCTTGTAAGCCTGGGTTCTGTCGGATGATCTTCGCTTGGTTCAACTGGTTTGCGTGTGTGGTCTTTGGCATGACCAGAGTGATCAGGTTTTTGCAGTGGTAACTGAGACTAGGATCCGAGACCAATAGACTAATATCGTCATAGCGCGAACATTGAAGGACACGAATTAAGTGACCGTGTCGACCCAATGCCTCTAAAAAGTCTTCTCGGTGCCACTGCCGACCGTTGTTGATCGTGTGCCAGATAATTGGCAGCCAAACTGTATGCCAAGCTCGGCAGACGCGTGCTGCAGCAGTTATGGTTTTGAAATTGAGCGAATGACTAATACATTCGACAATATTGGGAATAGCGAAGACGCGGTTGCAAGCAGATGAATTCGTTGTTGATCCTGTAGAGGGCGACGACGATAAAGGCGATGACATTTTTATGATCGATGGCTACCAAATAAAAAGAGAAAAATAAAAAATATTGAAAAAAAAAAAAAAAAAAAAAAAAAAAAAAAACCCCCCTTTTCGAGTTTTTTTATAAAATATATATACATCCCATGGAGATGATGAAAAAAATGCTGGTTGGCATTTTCTTCAAAAACTGCGGATTCGGAGAACATGTACTTTAAATAGTGCGCCTCATGTCAAAAAAGTGGATTTCATAAATGTTCCGCGATGATCATTGGCTAGAATTTTAAAAGAGCAAAGTGAAGGTTTGTCTTCGACATTTTTTATTCTCTGTCAGCCAATTTAAATACAAAATTTAAAGTTGGTAATGAGCATCGCACAACAAACGATGTGCACTGGAATGTATGAATATAAAGTACTTGTTCTCCAAATCCGCAGTTTTTGGATGGAACACCAACCGGCATTTCTTTCATCATTTCCGTGGGATGTATAAAGAACTTGAAAAGATTTTTTTTTTTTTCTCATTATTTTTTTTTTTATTTTTCTCTTTTTATTTGGTAGCCATCAATCATAAAAATGTCATCGCCTTTATCGTCGTCGCCCTCTACAGGATCAACAACGAATTCATCTGCTTGTAACCGCGTCTTCGCTATTCCCAATATTGTCGAATGTATTAGTTGTTCACTCGAATCCAAAACCATCACTATCGCGGCACGTGTCTGCCAGGCCTGGTATACTGCTTGGTTGCCAATTATCTGGCACACAATCGATTGCGGCAAGCAATGGGAGGATAACTTTACCCAGACATTGGTTCGACATGGCGAATTGGTTCGCATACTTCGTTGCTCACGTGGTGATGATATTCGTCTTTTGGTCTCGGATCCTAGTCCCAGCTGCAGGAACCTAATCACTCTGGTCTTGCCAAAGACCACAGTCATAAACCAGTCGGACCATGTGAAACTCATTCAACAGAATCCAAACCTGCGCAACCTATCATTGGCATTTCGTGATGATCCCTCGATTGATTACAGCAATCTCATCCATGCTGTCGGCGATCATCGCATGCTACGACGATTGACCTTTGATGACGAAAACAAGACTTTGCAAGTGGAGATGCTGGAGACCATATTGGAACGCAGCACATCCCTGAGAGAGCTATACTTTAGGCGCATCGGCTTTTTTCTCAATCACCCGATCGGCTATGCGTATGCCTCTGCTTCAAAGTTACTGGCGGCCTCCAAGACCGAGGAACAGGCCGTGTCCGAGCAAGAGGAGAAGAAGTTCCCGAGAATCACGAGCCTCTGCATGGATGATGTCGCGTGCTCACAAGATCTTATTCTAAATCTTGCCAGCCGTTTTCCGAGCCTCGAACGATTGTCCCTCCACTTGAATGCAGAGTTGTATTTTACTGAAGACTTTCCATCTCGACTGGCGCAGCGGAGTCCTCATATCAAATACCTAGATGTCTCCAAGACAGAGGACATGGAGGATTCAACCATCGCAGCTTTAGTCAGGTGTTTCCCGGGACTTCAAACCCTCATAGCAAGTCAAACAGGGTTTGGCGATATGAGTTTAAACGCCTTGGTTGAGTGCTGTCCTAATTTGGAAGAGTTGGATGCCAGGGATGCCTATGGCCTTGAATCTGAGAGCATTCAGAGATTGCTGAAGAAATGCCAGGCCTTGAAGTCATTGAATGCTTGGGACACATCCGTTAATGTGCCCAAGATGATCATGGAGGCATATAGATCACAATCGATGACGGAGGAGGGTCATCCTGCTCTACCTTCTACATCTACTTCTTCAGGGGTTGCTATTCCTGGACTTTGGGCTTGTCATGGATTGGAGTCTTTGACACTGAACTTCTGCTATGATCGACCGTCGCTGACGAATCAAGAACAAAGAATGATCCCTCCTGCGAGTGCACGCCGATACTTACTTGAACAGCTTTCAAGGTTGACCAAGTTGCGGAACTTGAGTATCAGGACGACCTATTTCGACGACTACGGCAACAATGATGAGGATGATGAGGATGATGATGATGCTGACACTCCAGAAGAGGCGAAGGGTAGCGAGCACATGCTACAGAGGATCCAGAAAGACATGTCTCTGCTTGCGGTGGACAATCTGAACTCGACTGAAAGTAGCAAGGAAGGAAAAGAAGAAGATACTGATGATTCGGAGCTATTCAATATTACGTTTTCGATGTCTTCAGGTCTGGCAATACTGAGTCCATTGAAGCAGCTTCAATCGTTAATTTTGGCTGGTGTCCATCATGCAGTAGGGCTGGATGAGATCCAATGGATGTGTCAGCACTGGCCTAGACTGGCTCGCATTGAGGGGCTTTATTGGGATGAGGATTGGGATGAGGATAAGCTTGTCCTGTCTTGGCTACAGGAAAATAGGCCTGGATTTATCCTTACTGAAGGAGACGATGAAGAGGACGATAGTTAATATTCATGGTAGTTAGTATGTAGACTATTAAGTACAAGGAAAATTTAAATAATAATATAGAAACTGTCTTATGCCAAGCGTTCACAGCGACGATTCTTTTTTCTCACTTTTTTTGGTCCTGAATATGAGCTGAGAATAGACCGTCGTGAGATAGATTTTTTTTTTTTTCTTTTTTCTTGTTGATAAAAGATGAAATGTTGTTACAATAGTAATAGAACATTAAACAAGGAGGGCACTATCCATTCGAATCGTTGGCACTTGGGCCTTTCTAGAGTAGACAAGCTATTATCAGGATTCGTGCTTGGATACAACTTTTTAGTTGAATAAGGATAGTACTTCATATCCGGAATCATGCTATTCAGGGTCGTTATGCAGGATAGAAAAGAAAGGGTTTGTGTGATACCTGCTACCTTGCTGTCTGCTACCTGCTAATGCTGATTTCAAATATTGGAAGAGTACATTCCATCACAACGGTGTATTGTAGGCTGTAGAGTAGAGCCCTGCTGGTGTTGATCAGTAAGTTTTATTTTCTTTTTCTTTTTTTTTTTTTTTTTTTTTTTTTTTTTTTTGACAGATCAACTTTAAGGGACTTTAAAAATAAAGAAAAGTGGGAACCGGGAGAGTGGTTTAAAAAACAATGATGAAGATGGGAACAAGTTGTTGAGAATATAACAAAGAGGATTTTCATGTTTATCATCAGCCATAGAGAGGATAAGGAATAAAAGAAAAGGGTCTGGTTCATCCTTGCATCCCTTTCCCCTTGATCTCCTATCCTTATTTTGAAGGAGTTTCTCTTTCTTTTTTTTTCTTTTTTTTTTTTTTTTTTTTTTTTTGGCAGTCAACTTTTATATGCCTTATTTTTCCCTTTATCTATTCTGTCTCTTTTTTTTTTTTTTCATTCCTCCTTCTTTCAACCTCTTTCCACAAGGACTAAAAAAAAAAAAAAAAAAAAAGACAAATATTCAAGACATATCCGTAAGAAAATGGTCAGCACATCTCCCATCATCCGTGCTCGCAATGGTAAGTTTATGACCTTTTTTTTTTCTCAATAGAATGGGAAAGAAAAGTAAGAAAAGAGATATAAGCGTTTTATGATTTACTTTTTTTTATCAAAATTGTTATAGCTCAGTATCGAAATAACCAGATCAAGCGTATCATCAGTAAAAACCCATCCACCACTATCAAATTATCACGGACAGAGCGAAGAAGAGCCAAGTTAACCCAGAGGACCTATATGATTGCTATTCTTCTAATCATGATGTCTGGAGGTGCTATCTTCGAGATCCTCAAACTGTTTGGTGTTGGTAAATGAAGGATGATCTGTTGGGGCTAGATAGCAAAGAAGAACTGTAAAGCTAGAGAATCAGACGGAACTACGACAACCTGACGTGTATGTAACTGGGACGTGAGCATGAGGAAAAATAAAATAGACATGCATGTATCACAAAAGGGCTTAGTAAAAACTTGTACGCCCTGTCGCATTTTTTTTTTTTTTTTTTTTTTGACATTACAAACATGACATCGCCCTGGGAAGGTTGGCAGTAGGAGGAATGACGTTGATGGCTATGGTCTGTGGGAAGATTATGCGTTGCACAGTCATGCATGGACTAAAGAGCACAAAGCACACAGCCGCGTGCGTTTTTTTTTTTTATTTCTCGGTAACGCCAGATTTTAGTTTCCCCCCATGTTATAAAAATAGCAGGGCGCATCATCGGATTTTTTTTTTATGCCCTGTCTGTGCCCATGGTCTCACGTAGTTTTTACACCCAACTTTATTGAAGGCGTACAAGGAAAAAAAAAAAAAAAGAAAAAAAAAAAAAGAATAGTAAAGAGAAGAAAAGGGCAGTGCATTCACATTCTCTTCTCTCTCCTCATTGCTACCCGAGGGCGCAAGCACCTGAACAATGTGAGAAGCATATACATACATGTGCATGAAATGCATAAATACTATCGCGCTTTCTTTTCTTTTCTTTCCTTTTTTTTCTTTTTTACTTTGTCTTTGTTCTGCAGTAGATTGCGGAATCCTCTTCTACTTAACACTTGTCTCCGTCAACTACTTTTGCTCCCTCTCTTCTCTCCTGATCTTGTATATAATTTTTCTTACAAATTCCCGTTCTAATTGCCTACTAGGATTACCTGGTATCTACAGAGTTCTACTAGTCTCCTTTTACGCGCTAGTGATATCCTTCAGCATCACCGTAAAATCTCAATTACCCATCATTCCTTACACAACTTCCATTTCCTCTGTATTCGACGGAATATCCAGAGCACCCTTACTTTTTTAGGGTAGACTCAGGGACCGACTTTTTTTTTTTTTTTTTTTTTTTTCCCTTCCTCAATTGAAGGCTTTTTTTTTCTATCTTGAGTGATAAATACCATTGCACATTCCTTTCTTTATTTTTATTTTTATTTTTTTTTTAATTTTTTTTTGCTTGATCTCTAGCTCTTTTCACTCTTTCACTCTTTCACTTTCTCACTCTCTCACTCTACATTACCTTCCTTTCATCATCCACCTTATACACTCCTTTTTTTTCTTTTTTCTGTTTTTCCGAACTGTGGTAGAAGAGAGTAGAAAGATCACTAAATAAAAAAAAAAATGGTGGCTCAGAGACATCAGTCATTGCTTCCAGTGTTTGTGCTGATTTCAAGTTATATCCTGGTTTCCCTCAACGCGTGGCAATCATTTGTTCTACAAGGTAATTAAATGCTTCTCCCTCTTCCTCTTTCTCTTCTTCTTTCTTGCAATTTCTCTAGACGTTATAAGGGTAAAAAAAAAAAAAAAAAAAAAAAGAGAAACCTTGCCCTAACTTACCAACAACGTGCCCAATGTTTGTACACAAAAAAAAATTTTTTTTGCAAAGCATGCATGCAGAGAAAGAGCTGTAGTGAATTGCTCCGCCCACTTGGGCGATCGTTTCACTAGAGAAAACAATCAATACGAATTACTGTATTTATTATTATTATAATGCTTCAATGAATGTAATATACTAATCATCTTTTTATCTTTATTTATCATCTCTCTCTCTCTCTCTCTCGCTTCCATTCTCTCTTTCCCTTTCTCTACCACATTCTTTCTCTGATCATTGTAAAAAAAAATTAAAAAAATTAATCGTACACAGCCACTGCTGCGCCGATCCCTTCAACGGTGGCGAGCCAGCCACCTTTTACTTTCAACAACACCCATTTCCCCTACAATACCAGAGGCCCCACACCACCGCCACTGTACCGTCCTGGCCAGGTCCTGGAACGATGCATCACCCCAAACGCCTATGCAATCTCGTTTGATGATGGACCAGGACAGCTGACAGATGAGTTGTTGGATTTCTTGGATGATCAGAATATAAAAGTCACTTTCTTCATGAACGGGGATAGCTGGAATTGTATATACCGTAAGAAAAATAAAAAAAATCCCTCTTAAATCTTCCCTATGTTATTTGTGTGTAGCAACAGCAACTCAATATCCACTCACACTCTTCATTCTTTTTTTTTTTTTTTTTTTTTTTTATGTCTATAGATCCAGAATCGCAAAGGTTACTTAGGCGAGCATATGCTTCTCAACATCAGATTGCTTCCCATCCATGGTCACATCAAGATCTCGAGTCATTATCCGATAATGACATTCGGAAAGAAATGCATCGGATTGAAGATGCGTTTCGTCAGATCTTGGGAGTGGTCCCTCGGTATATGCGGCCACCTTATGGCGACCATGGTCAACGTGTTCGTCGCGTCCTTGAAGAGATGGGATACATCATTGTTCTCTGGGATGTTGATCAATCCAGTGTCACCAACACGAACAAGGCGGGTACTGTCGATTCATATGGCTCCGATTCTGATTCAGGCTCTAGCTCAGCACAAAAACCATTGATAGGGTATCATCGGCAGAATCGTCATCATTATCACCAAGAGCCTGATTACCTTCAGTCTTCATCTAAATGGGCGGAAGCTGTGAGAGGTGTTCCTTCTTCCAACTTGGATCGAGATGCAATGCTATTGGGCGGAATTTATCAGGAGGCCACCCCAGATTGGGCCATTGAGTATGTACAGAGCTTAGGATTCGACTTGATGCCTGTAGGAAGCTGCTTAGGTGAAGGAGATCCTCGGCTTTGGTATAAGGAGGTCGTACCACCCGCTGATCCTGCGTCTATCCCCCAGACATGTCATTGAAAAAGAAAAAAAAAAAAAAAAAAAAAAAAGTTTTGGAGAGTGAGTATGAAGAAACTTTGGGATTGGGTTTCTCTTTTCCTCAATATTACTCAGTCTTTTGTACATATATTCACATACGACAAACATACACCACCACTAATGCAGCCACAACTAAGTTGGCTTTGTTTATAGTAACATGTAGCGACTGTTCAGACTCCATATAAAAACTGTATAAACATCTGAACACTGCCACGTGCCATTGACTACTCTGTGTCCCTTAAACAATACTTTTAGCATACACATACACTTTTGCAGGGATGGACTAATGCTTCGACAAAGAGGTCCAGCAACCTCCACCTGTAAATCTCGTTGACAGAGCCATACAGCAAAGCTTGCACAAGGCTTTTGATATAATAGTGGATAATAAATATCGCAATCTTTGATCTGTATGTAGTAGTCCTTGACAATTGCTTGGAAGTACTGTGTTCGATCGCCTTCAAACGACGAAATGGCTAAACCAATGGAAGTTATATTCCCTTGACAGTGGCGCACAGTTTCATGGGCTCTCGTGGCACACGCTTCGTGATCCTCCTTATTTCTATGACATTCTCCGGACTGAGGCTGATACCTTTGGTAGGCTTCTTTAGCAACTCAAGGAGAACCAGCTCCGATAGTGAGCTTATAAGCACCACTGATTGAGGTCTATAGCTATTTTCCATGTAGCCAATTTCGTATCCCCAATGCGCTATACCCGTGAGAATCAAGCGAGATCCAGTATTGCTGCCAGTCCAAGTGGTGAGTTCCATCGGAGGTTTTAGAGCTAGAAACTTTTTTTGACACTGGAGTGTCTTTTTCGAAGAGTTTCCCATGTTCATCAACAACTGTTAGAGTCCTCTGCTCGTTATCCCTCTGCATGAGAAACTTTTCAAAGATTGTAGACACAGTATTGCCTCCAGGATCAACATAGGCACTTGCGAGGATCTCCAGGACACGAGAAACCAGAAGATCCTTGTTGAGCACTAGGAAACGCTTAACCAATTCGAATTCAGAATTTTCCTCATTTTCAGTGCTCAAGACTCCAGCGGCTGCAATGTATAGAGTAATCCATCCTTCGGAATATATACGCTCTCGCCACCAGATAATAAGACAGAAAGGATTTGCCGATGCCCGTTGGGCCAGACAGGATCCGTCGGTATGTGAGGCGTTGTTTACTTTGAATCTCCAATCATCTGCTCCGTGACAAGCAAACCGTCGAGGCTATATGTCTCAATATCCCTTGGAGTCTAGCCCATGGATGGGTCAATAATGCTGTCGCCAGGCTGATGATTGGCTTTGAGGTGAACAAATTGTTCGCGTGGAGGGAGTTTGAGACTACTGTTTTCTAGTATATCAATCCAAACGGTTGGGGGCTCCACAAGGTTACCGTCGGGAGCCCTGTACTCTCTTCATTGTTCAGCAATGCGCCTCTTTTTTAATGGTGAGGCATACTATAGGTCTATGTATGGTCATCGTACACATACACAGTTGGTCAGCACCATAATAACATGGCTAATCATCAAACCAATCCATTTACAAAACAGAAAACAGATTATTACCTTCATTCATTATTCTCTTGAGAATCTCGTCTGATGATTCTAAAAAATGAGAGAGCACCGTAATGGAGGGGATGTTAGCATTGTGATCAAAGAATATATTAGTGTAAGGAGATATAAGCATCGGTCAGTGAAGAGTCAGTGGGGGGACAGAGCATGGGCACGGACCATGGGGGCGACTTTCCAAATCCTTTTATGAAGACGAAATTAAAGTTGCTGTCGTTTAAATGGTCTAGCCTAGATACACCTGGATGACAAATAAAAAACCAGCTATTAAACATACCTCTCTTTGGATGTCCTATAATCACATATCCAGTTTAGGAGTCCACAGTAATATTAGGATAGATGGCTTCCTTGAGTTCATCGACTGAACAGTTGAAGAGGATCTTTACAGAAAAAGGTGTTGCTTCTCCCTCAACAATGTAATAAATCTGTAGGCTGATTGATTCAGGAATTTTAGGCCCATTAGTGCTTGAACACTCTTCATTCGTTTCTCTTTTTTTTCTTCTTTCTTTTCATACGATTCGTTTTGAGGAGATGGGCGCCGTGGTGGTATCCTGCTGCTTCCTATTGTGATTTCAAAACTGTTTGAAAACAAGAAAAATCTGGTGTGACAGAAGCCAACGACTATTTTCTTTCCAAAAATGATAAAAATATGACACAGTTCAAATTTCACGGTCGAGCGAAAGTGCATGAATAAAAACTTCGTTAACCAGGGCCAATCAGAGATTGCCAACTGCTGTCTCGCCTTTCGTTCTTTTTCTTTTTTATTTCCAATCAGTTCTCACGGCTCTTCGCTCTTCACTCTTTGCTTCACTCACAAAACGAGAGTGGGGTACTCAAAATAAGCATTGCTATCCCTTACAACCATTGTTTATACTTTGCTACTATTTCTTTTTAAGAGCATTATTTCATACTGCATTCATCCTCTCCTATCATAATACACACCAGACGCTGAACGCGTTGTTTGTAATAACCTTATTGAGTACACTAAACACAGCCTTCCAAAAGATACAACCAAATGGGGACCTCTAAAGCAAGTCAAAAGAAGAGACTTCCAGACGTCCAAAGGGCCGTTCCCTATGCCTGGCCAGGAAAGCAATCTAAGCCCGTCAAGGCCACCCCTACTCCTTCAAAACCTCAAGAAAGTATGTAAAATTGATTGCAATATCTATCAAGAACAAGACTTCTTTTTGTTCCTCTAATATTAACATTACTCTTTTGGAAAATAGAACAAAACCGTTAATACAGAGGCTAGCTCGTTGTTTCAGCTCTTGGCACAAAGAGAAGCAAGCCTCTCCTGTGCCTTCATCGTCAGAGCAAGCTGAAGCCCCCGCAGACACAGCAGCTTTAAGGTATGACATCAAATATATATTCGATTGTTTTTATGGTGAAAGGCCTGGTGGTTTAGTACCTAAACCTTACATCCCCCCTTAAAATCCATCGGAATCATAATGTTAGGACATAATCGAGAAGGCTCATGGAGCCAAACACCGCTTTAGGCATGAAGAGGATGTTTAAAGCGAAGATCACATAGGTACCACAGTCGATGATAAACAGTCAAAGTGGGCACGGGAAGAGGATCCACGGCCGTCACAAACCATATATCCGGCCGTGGATGGAGCTGCGGAGGAAGCTGATGAGGAAGAAGATTGGTCCCTATCTCCGTCCATAACATAGAAGGCCTGGAGGGCTTCTTTGGGTTTCAGAGAGGGGAGTTCTTGAGGTCTATGCAGGCAATAGACTTGTAGGTTTTTTTTTTTTTTTTTTTTTTTTTTTTACTTGGGTTGATCGCCTCTTGTAATACTATAAAAATAAAAAGAATTAAAAAAAAAAAAAAAAAAAAAAAAAAAAAAAAAAACTAATCAACTATACACATGATCTCTATCAATAGCTCCATGCAGCGTCTAAAGGGCAGCGCGTTAAAGATCTACCCCTCGAGCCACTCCATTGGCTGTTCTTCGTGATCTTGTGGGGTAACCACCGAGGACAGCCAGCGGCTCGAGGTAGAGAAGATAGAAGCTCTTGCAGAACAAGAGCTGATGAATTAAGGGCCGCTAAGACAGCGGCACAGACAACAGTAACAGCAACAGTAACAGCACTACCGACGGCAGAAACAACAGAAACAACAGAAGCAGCAGAAGCAGCAAAAAGAGAAACAGCAGCAGCGAGAACACCGGTACCCATCAGCGGCTACAGCAGCCGCAGCAACAGCAACAATAAAAAAAACGTGGTACGAACGAGCCATTGCTGTCTTGAGGTGAGAGAAGTCCCCAGCTGCATCAGATAAGCTTGGTGATCTTGTAGTAGCTGTTTTATCATCATCGTCATCGTCACCGTCGTCAAGCGCTGCAAAGTCAGCAACATTGCCACATTTTATCAAGAAGATAACAAATTGGAAGAGCCATTCTGGGTCTGACTCGGCCTCGGACTCTGATAGCAGCGACAAGGGCGAAGGAAAGAGGAAAAGTGGTAACAGTGATATGGATCTTGGATGAGCACTCTATGCATAGTTGCTCTTGTTGTTTTGAAATAAATTAATCCTATTTGTCTGGATTGTTTGAAGTAATAGACACATGTTTATACTGCAGAAGACATTACAAGGCTAAAGTGGAAGCAATAACGATGGTGACATGGCAGAAGTTATCCATTGATCAAGCATAGGATGAATTGTACATGTACCATTTATTCTCTTTTGTTTGCAGTTATGAAAATATTCAAATACAAAAAACAAATCCGGTTACACAACAAACTATTTTTGAACCCAATAGTGTTTACAAATAAAATGGATATGGTTTAGCGTCTATTATTCCCGTTTATTTTTTAATAAAGTGGCGAAGATCACTGCATGGTACATGTACAAAAACTTCACGGATGGAAAGAACATGTAACCCAGCAAGAAGAGGCTCTTCTTTTCTTTTTTTTTTTTATTTTTTTATTTTTTACAACTAATCATCTTGACACTTTGATGCGAAGAATTGCTTCCCTTTTTAGCCTTAAACCCAACCTTATTAACTGCTATTGCTCTGAAAACCGTTAGACCCAACGTTTTATCATTCTTTTTTTATTTTTTTTTTTCCCCTTTCCCGTTACACTTTTCACTCACGGACCAACTCTTCCTTCCCATCTAACCTTTTTTTTTTTCTTTTTTATTTCTTTTTCCTCTTTGGATAGACATGAAAGGAAAAAACCAACCCATCCTTTCCGTCCCATTCGGAAGGACAAAGTATAATTGTTTCCTTCTCTTCGTTATATAACAAGGACAATGTGGTATATGTACAGATGTATGTATATATAGATGTATAGATGTATAGATGCATGTAGAGCGAAAATCGACAGCTCAAAAAAAGGTCAGATCAGCTCGATTCAGCTCTCTTTCCAGCTCTTTTTCAGCTCAGCTCCAGTTCAGTTCGGTTCAATATATATATAATTCAGTTCAGATCTGCAAATCCACCTTTGAGAAGGAATAAAAAAAACCCCTGTTTCCATAGACCAGCACTGGGAGGGACAAGGCTCTGAATATCATTTAAAAAAAGATAGGGGTCCTGGATTATTGTGTAGATTTATCCACGTCTTTGTACATAAAACGCTGAACGCAAGTCTTCGTAATTCATAGCTCATGCTTGTATATATCAATAATATATATGTTCCATGTACTGTATAGATGCACATGTTTTTCTTTGTATCTCCTTTCAACCAACGAAATGTCTGTGTTTCTTCAGAAGCACAGAAGGAGGAACCGAAATGAAATTGGCGTAACATTTTAAATGGTATGCATGTAACGAATGTGTAGCCGTAATGTAATATTTCAAGGCATCATGCAAAAAAATATAAAATAAAACAAAACGATCAAAGATAAATATAGACCTCGTCTTTGTAAAGCAACCAAGCATGGAAGAGGAGAGGAAAAGTCAATTGCTTACTTCTCTTCTCATTAGCTTCGTTAGCATGAGAAAAAGGAAAAGGCAAAGGAAAAGGGAAAAAGGAAAAGGGAAAAAGGAAAAAAAAAAATAAAAAATATAGAGTACTGTAAAGTAGGTAAGAATCAGGAGGATATTCCTAGTCTATCATAAGGGATTTTGAGTCATTTAGGAACAAAAGGGAAAACGAAGCACCTATTTCTGTGCTTCGCTAATGGCGGAGTTTCTTTTCAGTCACTGTCCATGTCTACGTTTAAAGACAAGATAGGGACAAAAATGCTCACAATCATGAGGTTGAGAGCAGCTCCTTCCTCTTTTGTGGAATAAGCAACCAAACAAGTAGCAGCAGACAGTAGGTCTGTGTTCAGCATATTTCGAATCTCGTAAAGACGCGTTGGTATCAATTGGCGCAAAGTTGCCTATGCTTAATTATCATGTAAAATTCTGTCTCACTGTTGGGTAACAAACATGAATACATTCACTCACTCATGACAGCCGGTATTAAAGTACTTTTCGCCAGTACTTTTTTTTTATATACATGTACATAACACGGATAGTAGATGTAGTCATGGTTTTTGTCCAACAAACAACCACAAAAAAAAAATACCTCTTCTAAAATGAACAGGACTAAAAAAAAAAAAAAAAAAAAAAACATACGAGCGAAGTTAGGTTGCATGCCAGACATTTTCGTAATACCAGATCATGTTATTAACATGTGCTGCCTTCGCCTTATTGTCTCTCTCACTTTCTGAATTTTAAGAATTCATGTTGGAATGTGTACATTCCACCTGGGATAAAAATGAGAAGAGTGAAAAAAAAAAAAAAAAAAAAAAAAAAGACACCATTCCAAGGATGAAAAGAAGAGAGAGCTTCGACATGCAATTCCTACAACCTGATATGTGTGGTAAAAGCATGCTCAAGAAACATGAACTGTAAGGGATATGCATAGGGTGCATAGATTGTAATGGAGCGATTATTTTTAATACATTATACCCAATATGTCAACTGTCGACTTCTAGCAAGATGCAGGCCCCTACAGCTTTTCTTCTCTTCCCAGTGATCTCTCCTGAATTCATTCTAATAGCTCGCTTTCGATATTTCTTTGCTTCGCTTCTTTGCATTAGTCCTTTAACTCTTGTAGAAATAGATCTAGTAGACTAGCTAGCTAGATTTGAGAAATAAAACCCATGCTGTGCTCATTTTTTTTTTTCCTCTTATGCTTCAACTTCAACCCCAAATGGGCGTCAAGGAGTTGATAACACGAGTAAGAAGCAAGAAGGATTAAAAAGATGAGGAAGACTCGCCCGTAACCAGGGAGCATTTGGTGTTGCATGTGCCTTCCTTTTTTTTTTTTTTTTTTCCTGGCAGTTGATCCGGCTGCCGTGGTTATCATCATCACATTTCAACCGAATTCAAAACCGTGTGTAACACCAGTTTAAAAAAATACAGCCATGGACAAGTCAACAAAGGATATAAAAACAGCTTTTTTTAATATGGGCTCTTTTGAGATCGAAAATAGAGCATAAAGTATAGAGACAAATATACACACACGCGTCTTTAAACTTTCTTTTTAAACCCAATCCCCTCAATTCCCTGCGGAATATTGAATACTGAATACTGAATACTGAATACAATATATATATATATATACCTCTCTAAATGAACATGAATATTCAGTGTCACCATTCGGCTTCCATTTCCAGTGGTGCTTTCCCCCTTTTGTTTGTTTTGTTTGTTTATTGTTATTGCTATTGTTTACAGTGAGGTTCTATTTCTATCACAAAAGAACAGCTAAGCATCCTTTCCATATTCAAGGACAGTCTGAATCGTTCAGTATCCATGTATGCATCGCAATGAAAACACAGAGTCACTGTGGAGCGGAGACAAAGACCAAGTCCGTGAACCAGACAAGTTGCGGAGATATGAACTTGCATCTATTATAGTTTGTTATTCTCTATATTTTGCTCATGATCTTGTGGATCCTCTCATCCAGAAGTATAAAAGGTCCCCTCTTCCTCACTTTTTTTTTTATTCCTCATCCTCATCAGCCGCTTACCTCTCATCCTTTAACCAAACCAACCAACTCTTAGTTGACCCCTTCCAAATTCGCCAGTACATTTGGCCGTCTTTACATTCACGTAAAAAAAAAAAACCCCCTTTCCTTCTTACCCTTTCCGTTTCATAGCTTCTTCCCTCCTCACCTTTTTCCAATATGAGAACCACTACCTTCTTCGCCTACATGATGGCCATGCTCGCCATGCTCTGCAGTATGGCTGTCGCTTCTACTGAGATCAGCCTCGAGAAGCGTGCTCCTCCTTCTACTGCTGCCTTTGATGCCACTGTCGATCTCTTGGTCAAGGAACAGGCCCACATTGTTGTCAAGGCTTTCGCTGATGTTTGCACCGATACCGATATTGCTTCTGCTGTCAAGACTGACCTCCGCGTTCAGATTTCGTAAGTATTTTTTTTTTTATTATCTTCCCTGCAACATATTGTCGAGAAAGGGAGCCAATCACAATTTATAGTTCAATGTGCATTGTTGTGAGCTTTTTGCTTAGATGTTGGCTGACAATTTTTATTTGTTTGTTTCTTTATTTATTAGTGGTCTTCTCGATGTTGATTTCGGTCTCGGTACCAAGTTGTCTGCTGCTCTCCAGTCCTCGATCAAGGCTGCTATCAAGGCTGAAGTTGATGCTGAGATCAAGTCAGAGTTCACTGCCAACTTGAAGGCCAACATTGCTGCTATCATTGTCAAGCGTTGCCCCAACAAGGATGCTGCTTGCATTAAGATCCAGGCCAAGGCTATTGTCTCTGAGGCTGCCAAGTTGACTGTCAAGGCTTCTGCAAAGATCGCTGTCAAGGTTCAGGCCAAGTTGGCTGCCAAGATCAAGGCCGCTATCGATCTTCAGATCAAGAAGCTCTCCATCAACTTGTTGTTGCTCAAGATCAAGGTCACTGGTGATGTCAATGTCTCTGCCAACGTTGCTCACAAATTCAAGGCTGCTGTTGACTTGTGCACCAAGGCCTGCGCTGATATCCAGGTTAAGCAGGCTATCAAGGTCAGAAGCATCTGCTCTGCCTAAAAAATATATATATATATTCATAATAACATTCATATCCAGTAACATACTCTATTAAAATTCTTAATAAGCATAATATCCTTTTAATTTGTTTCACTCTCCCTAAATGACGAGCTGGAGTTGTCTTGATCACTCGAAAAATGCGTTCTTTTTTTTTATTGCTCCTCATCTCTTCATTCAAAAGGATACATAGTATTTTTTTTTTTTTTTTTTTTTTTTTTTTTTTTTAAAAAAAAAAAAAAAAAAAAAAAAAAGGCCGTCGGTTTAAGGCATAAGGCGAAACTACTCTTTGTTATATCCTGCAGTTTGATGTTGTCAGCTCCAATTTTATTTTGTTCTTGTGATGAGCACATTAGAGAAACCTGTTTCCCTTTGAACCACGAGTTCCATGTAACGAGCCATCCATGATCGGTTTGACTTATTTTCCCAATAGAAGAAAACTAGACGGGCGACCCGTGGCTTCGCTCACGGTCGCTCCAGTCTAGGCTTTGCCTCGTGAGGCTCATTTACCCTCGTTGGGGTTCCAATAAAATTGAACGTTTTTGACACAAAGGTTTCTTTTTTATTTATTAGGTATTAAATATTAAAGTCTTTTTTTTTTATTGACATTTTGTTGTTCTTCAAACAAAAGAGTTTCTGCGTCGGCTCGCTTTTTCAATAGATCATATAAAGCGGCATGGAAACGAAGGTTTTGGGCAGCCCACGGGGCGGTAGCATCGGTGCCTCTCGGCGTGCTTACTGTTTCTTCAAGTGAAAGCGAATGAACAGAGAGTTGATCTTCCCGATCTGATTGATGGACGGGGCGTGTAGGAGAGAGCGGTCGAGAGTGAAGGGGAGAGCGAGAGCGAGAGCGAGGAGGATGTGGGGATTTTTGGCGTGGGGAAGATGGCTTTAGGAAGCTCTGGCAAGGGGAAGATGGCTGTAGAGGACTCTGGTGAGGGGAAGAAGAGTGCGTGGGAGATAGGTTTCTGGGGGGGGTCTGGCGGCGCCGCTTGTTTTGATCGTCGTGTTGTTCCTGGTCGTCGTCGTCCCAATTAAGCGAACGCTTTTGAGATTGGGGAATTGTATCAAGGCTATCATCATCACATGACTGATTGAAAAAAAAAAAAAAAAAAAAAAAAATTATTACTTTGTCTAGTCTTCACGTACAACCATATGACTATGATAGAGGCTGCCTTTACCTGGGAAGCAGGAGGGAATTGGTCGATTGAGGAGGATGAGGGCGAAAGTATTGTCTAAAAGAACGATACCAAATTCTCCTTAGTGTTAGTCAATTATAACTCTGATTCTCTGTTGATACCCAAGACTCAAAGTTAAATAGAAACTTACTTCACTGGTATTTGGGGTCAACACAGGTACTTTTACAGAGATCGTCTGACGACCTTGAGAACTTTTGGCAGTCTTGGCAGGCTTGGAAGTCTTGGTAATGGTGGAGGTGGAAGACATAATGTATGAATGTACGTGTGTGAGAGCGAATGAGGAGTGTGTGTGAACTTTTTTTTTGTGTGTGTGTGTGAATTTTTGAAAAGAAAAAAAAAAAAAGAGGAAAAGATGGAAGAATCTAAATTTTCAATTACAAAAACTGGTATCACAGATGACGTTTACTCTACAGAGATGTACAAATACACTTCTACTATTACAAAGATATACTAAAATACAGATACGCTAATTTACACTGATCATACAACATGTACACTAATTTACACTGGTCTTACAGCTATATACAATAAATAACATTTCGGCCGAGTCGTGATGATGGATACAGATAGAGCAAGGGTAGTAAGAGCTGGAGATATAGATATCGTGGGAACAGCAAGGCATAGGCACAGTAGGAACAACAGAGACAGGGATAGTAGGGACCAGAGACAGAGGGGCGGCAGGGACTGAAGATGTCAGCGACTTTTTTTTTTTTTTTTTTTTTCAATCTTGAAGGACTTCTTGGTACACAATATTTCGCGTGTATTTACAAAGATCCCTTGAATCACCTTTGATAAGTACCTTCAAATGCTTGGGGTCTGTACAGCGAGAAAGAGCCACATAGAGCTGGCCATGACTAAAAACAGACCGTGGGAGGTATATGCCAACATTCTGAAGAGTTTGCCCTTGAGCCTTATTGATGGTCATGGCGAAGGCAGGTTTCAAAGGGAATTGGCGCCGCTGGAATATGACTGGAGACGATCCATCATCAGTTGCATTGATATTGATTCGAGGGATGTAATGGATCGCTCCTTTGAATATTCCCGTCATTATTTCAGCTTCGATGACTTTGTTTCCAAGTTTATGCACAATGAGACGCGTACCGTTACAGAGACCTTCCTTTGGGCTCAGGTTCCTTATGAGAATGATGGGCTGACCGATCTTTAATTGCAGTATACTGGGAGGCATTCCGGGAGGATTTAAAGAATTAAGAAATTCCACAGTGTATGTTGCTGCTACTGGGTCGTCAATATCAGGGATGGAATCTTGCCCATGATAGACCTTTGGAACGGTATGACTTGAAAATATCTCTGTTGCCAAATTGTTGAGCTTGTTGACATCCTCATTAAGTGTAGATAGAATAGCGCGCCCTTCCCAGTAACTTAGTGAGGGATTAGGATGAGCCTGCAAGTATGGGTATATCTCCGCAATGAGGTGCTTTTCATCAGAGTTATTAGGGTCAGGCTGCGTAGAGCTAAGAATACACTGTTCAGGCAGCTTGATGTAGTCGTTCTCTGGCCCAATCTGCCTTGTAGACTCTGTTCCATTTCCTACTCGAAGCAAGTAATCAATGAAGCCTTGAGCCTCTGGATTTGAGGAGCATTGTAAAATTCTCATGTTTATGGTGAGTCTTAGCGTTTTCACATCTCTCCAGAATGTTGATTTCTTCAAGCAAGCGTGCACAATATCTCCTCTTGACCCATTTCTTACAACAGGAAGCACTTGACGGAAATCCCCTCCAAAGACCACAATTTTTCCGCCAAATGGCGCATCAACCTTTGTGAGATCTCTTATAGTCTTATCAACAGCCTCACAAACATGGCGATGCTGCATAGCAGCTTCGTCCCAAAAAATCACATCTGTTTCTATGATCCTTTTTGCGATAACTTGCCCGTGCTTGATGTTGCAGGTCGAGTTCGGGTAGATAGGGATAGGGACCTTGAAAGCAGAGTGGGCAGTGCTTCCCGAATTTAAGATTAATGCAGCTATTGCTGAGGAAGCTACCACAATGACTTGCTTTCTTAAGATGCCACGGATATAATCAATTGCTGTATTAAAGAGAAAGGTCTTTCCTGTTCCTCCGGGTCCATCGATGAAAAACAATCGCTTTGTATCCTTGCCTTTTCCGACAGCTCTTTTAATCTCAAGAAAAGCAGCCAGCTGATCCTGATTAAACTTAATAATATTGGTCTGGGCTCGGGTTGCAAGTTGGTCAAAAGTCTCTTCTAGATCATTGCTGTTTTGTAGGTGCAAATCCTCAATCTCTTGTGGCATCTCTGGAAAGTCAGCTAGACTGGAATCCATCCCTTTTAATATATTGTCGATCTCATAGAGGGCTTGTTTCTCAGCTCTCTGGCGGAGGAAGTCGTCGTACCTGTGGATATCACCATCATTATTATCATCATCATCCCTAATAGACTGACGTAGAGTATGAAGCTTGTCCTCAGAAAGGGCCGAAGCAAATTCATCCCATAGACCACGAGGTTGAGAAATGTTGCAATGGTAAAGGAGCATTGAGAAAAGATGACGCAGTCTTTTAGGGAATTGAAACTGGCATGCTTCTCGAAGGCAGTCTCGCCATTCGCTGTCGTCTTGCATATAACCAAGCGCTACAGCAGCTTCCCTAAAGGTGCCAAAGAGCCTATCATCCACTTTGCGGAGACACTCAAAGCTTTTTGCTCCCTTTTTGTGCAAAAGCAAGATTCTGAGAGAGAAAAGCTCACGGTCTTTAGGATGAACAACATACATTCGGGTTACCGTCTTGTCCTGCCTGTCATGTATTCTTGGTATCCATATTGGTGCCTGACCTTTTTTAGCTTCCCATCTGTAATGCAAGGGTATCTGAGGGTATGTATACTCATTTGCATCAGGATCTCTCCTATTCAGAGCAAACCATCCCATGAGCTGACTATTGGTATTTCGCTCGTCAAGCAGTGCGGCGAGGTTGTCGTCTTCACTAAAAATAACATTTTGATGGCCCTCGAGGTGGACTTGAAGACGTATGATGTGTGTGACAGATCAAACATCTTGAACGCAAAGATCCTCCATATTGATTCACAAGCAGAGATATAGCGTGCATCCCAGTATTCCTTGATCTCATCGTGAGACTGTAACTGCTGCTGCTGCTGCTGCTGCTGCTGCTCTTGATCATTTCCTCCAACTACAGTCACCCTTGCACGATCTTGTCCCTTGTGCACATACTTGTACAAATACTTTACTGATGTGATTGAAGAACAAATCTCGACATTTATATGAGCGTTGTACTTCGTTAATAAATAAGGATTGTATGGCACAACCCAATGATTATCGACAGCGAAGTCGATATTATTGCGGCGGACCATATGTGCCCCGGTATCACGTCGCCTATAGAACGGATAGCCATCTTCTCTTAGAACTGACTCCGCTAAGAGTTGCCGTGGGTATTTCTTGGTGCAGACATTGGACTCCATACAGGGAGATTTGATTCCAGGACCGCAAGGGCCATGGATCATTGTCGTCATCATAGTTTTGTACAAATTAGGGTGTCTAAGCGGGTCAGGGATCTCAGCGCAAACGATGTTGTCAATATCCTGAGCTGTACGTGGCTTATCTTCTTCGTCTAGGGTCAGTAGGATATGAGCGTGTGGTAGTCCTCGCTTTTGGAATTCGGTTGCAAGACAGTATCCGATAACTTTTCCAAGGACATATTTTTCAGTAAGGTCATGCATAAGAGCCTCGAGCTTGACCTTGAATATCCTATCCAACAGATCGGGACGATCATTTGGGGTCTGTCCAGCATACCCCTGTCTTGCAATTTCATGTTGAATCTCTGGCCATTGTGGATTGCAAGTGAAGGTAATAAATAGATCCGGCCTACCTACATGTTGAGTCATAGC